GCTGCCCCCTGACCCCACAGCCCATCATGATTGAGTGGAATATTTGTGAGATATTTTGACATATTCCCCTCATCATTTACTAACTGTTGAACCAGGCCAATAGAGACTGTTTATTGTTCCAGCCCTGTCCTGTATCTGGTCTGAAGTGTGCCATCTGTGATTGTCTCCTGTGCGTCAGAGCGAGCGCTCGTGCTGCCTGCTGCTGAAATTAACAAGCATTAGCCGCTGTGAAAAGACGGATTTAGCCACCTGGCCGTGCTCTGTCTGACCCTTCCACACTTTTTACACCTCTACACCTGAAGGATTTCATGTTTTACTGTTGCAATAATTGAGGCATAAACGCCACATTCACATCAATATTAGAACATTTAATTGTTTAGCACTCGTTTGGGAGGCGACAGTGGCTCAGATGGCAGAGCATTGGCCTTTTAGCCTGAAGGTCGTGGGTTCAAGCCCACCATAAGACCTACTCCACGACTCCCACTGATGACGGATGTCCTTGTGTCCTTGGGCAAGACGCTTAACCCCACTTTGCCTGTAGCCCCCACTGAAAGATCTCAACTCCTGTGGACTCAGCACTTGCAGGAGGATCAGTGAGGGCATGGTGCACTGTGTACTGGGTGCAGCTCTGACTGCCACCCCCCTGACCCAGAAATGGATTAAGGGGAAGAAGATGGATGGATGGTCTGGGGGAGACTTGGGAGATCCTCCTCTCACATATGGAGACTTTACCTGCTTGTACAGAGTTGAGTTTTTACTATTTTATATAAGTCTCATACAAATACATATTAAGTATGGACCAGGTGAATTCATTTTGTATTATCAGTACATAACCATTTACAAAGCTTAAATTCAAAATGGAGTTTTTTGTGGCTTACTTTTCATAGTTTTATTGGCATTTTCAGATTTCTTTTTTTAAACAGGCTTGATACTTATGCTTTATACTGTTAGCATTTTCATAATACCCTGATGGGTATTGATTCTTATCTCATTCATTTGTATCACATTTTCAAGCCCATTATTTTGCATCGCCCTAAATCACTACAGTAGTTCTCTGAGGTCTTTGCAAAGTTGTTGATTGGCCAACACAGATCAGAGAATCAAACAGTTCAAACACAGTAAGGAACGATAAACAACGAGAGCCATTGGTGTGTAGGGGACGGATTCAGGCTGTAGAACGAGGACCGAGACCACAAGATTCAGGCTGTAGAACGAGGACCGAGACCACGAGATTCAAGCTGTAGAACGAGGACCGAGACCACGAGATTCAGGCTGTAGAACGAGGACCGAGACCACGAGATTCAGGCTGTAGAACGAGGACCGAGACCACGAGATTCAGGCTGTAGAACGAAGACCGAGACCACGAGATTCAGGCTGTAGAACGAGGACAAGACCACGAGATTCAGGCTGTAGAACGAGGACCGAGACCACGAGATTCAGGCTGTAGCTTCAACTAACATTCTTAAATTTATGTGAGATAACATTCTGTACTAATGTGTTTTGAGTATTTCTCATGACTTAAGTCCCAATACGTTACCACCTTAGCAACAGTCAACATTAGCGCTCATAAATAATGTTTTGTTTTTATCAGTGCGTCTGCCGCCCAGACACGTTGAACCTTTGGGGAGAGTCCTTTAAAACCGTCTCCAATTTCACTTTGACCAAACCTGGAGCTCAAACAAAAGAACCATCTCTGCATTCTGACAATACTGGTCCAACAGTGAGAAAAGCAGAGGCCAGTCACGTCTGCGAGGCCCAGTCACGTCTGCGAGGCCCAGTCACGTCTGCGAGGCCCAGTCACGTCTGCGAGGCCCAGTCACGTCTGCGAGGCCCAGAATCTCTGGACAAACTTTGCTCCCACTTTGGCCCCTGTGCCTTTCCCGGCGCTGGGTGTGGCGTGTGGTGCTGGAGATAACGGCCTTTGTTGAGTAATGGTGAGAGAGATAGGCTTGTGTCATAACAGGAGCACGGCCTCCTCCAGTGTTATGCTCCCGAGATTAAAGGTTTTCCTCAACTGCTCTGCTCTCGCTTTGACCGCCTCCTGTCAGATATTAGATTAGGACGGCGAGATGTGCAGGGTTGATAGTTAATCAGGGATTGAAAATATCAATGATTCAAGATTTTTTTTTTTGCAGTGTTGTTAGCAGTAGAAGTATTAGTGACACTTGTGTGTGACAATATATTTTGAATGAATCTATTTAAATCATTGTTTACATTCATCATTCATGGTATTTGTATTTGAAGTCATAATATAAATACTGCCTTTGCAAACCTCAACATATATTTATTCATCTTTAAAACATGCAGAGGTTATAGATCAGGGAGATGCAGATGTGTATGATCAGTAAATGTTCTGAAACGCAAATAATTCTCAATGTTTAGGGACTGTGTAAATTTTACAGTTATAAATCCAGTGAATAAAACTTGAAATACAGCAGAAAAGGTTAATGCTAAAGACCAAATGCTAACGAAACAGCTTGTTGCTATGGTGTGTGTGTTGAACAGGTGCACATAAGATTTCTCATTTTTATTATTTAAAAAAAAAGTTTAAAGTTTAAGAAAGCCAGAGTAAAGGCCACGATGAGAACAAACCAAATAGAGCCAGAGTTTCTTTCACAAGATGCCTAATAATAATAAGGACAGAGGTTTGTAATTTTTATCATAGGTACACTTCAACTGTGAGAGACAGAATGTGAAAAAAAATCCAGGAATTCACATTGTAGGATTTTTAAAGAATTTATTTGTAAATTATGGTGGAAAATAAGTATTTGGTCACTTCAAACAAGGAAGATCTCTGGCTCTCACAGACCTGTAACTTCTTCTTTAAAGTGCATATGACAGATTAGGGTACCAATGTCACTTAAATGTCGATAACACAATCATATTTATTATTAAGGTTGAAATGTATATAAAATATAAGTAATATTAACAGTTTATTGCATTTTATGTGAAAATATTTACTTCCGCATTCCAACCCGGTTCCGAGCCCTACGTCACGTAAGGTACACAACACATTGCTGTATATTGTATACAGTATAACAATGGAGCGCGATGCATCACAACTGTTGTATGATGGACCTATTCCATACAATTTTGAGCCTGTTGTGATAGATCACAGAGAACGTGAACGCCCGAGAGTGAGGAATGATGGCCATAGAAGGGAAATTGAGCTTTGGTGTCAAGAAAATGAATGGCGAACAGGCCAATCATCTTGGTAAGCTAGGCAGCGACAGCCACGCAAAATTCTAAATTCTGTATAAAACGTAGCCTAACTTTATTACTTAAAACCATATATTGTTTAAATAGGGCATTGTCCATTCATGAATGCGCTCTTAAGATGTCTCACCCACGGAATTGAGCGCATGGTTTAGTTCTATCAGCGGCACGGTGGCTGAGTGGATAGCACTCTCGCCTCTCAGCAAGAAGGTCCTGGGTTCAAATCCCGGTTGGACCAGGGCCTTTCTGAGTGGAGTTTGCATGTTCTCCCCGTGTCTGCGTAGGTTTCCTCCGGGTGCTCCGGTTTCCCCTACCACTAAAAATATGTACAATAGGTCTGGCATGTGCCTCCTGTACTGGCACCCCCACTCCAAAAAATAACAATTGTAAACGGCTTTGAGACTCCGATGTGCAGTGAAAAGGCGGTATATAAATAAAGATTACTTACTTACTACTTACTATTGGTTAAGTCGTACTCCCCATTTGCGCATATCACATGATTATTATACAGTCGTTTATAAAATTATGCTGCCCTCCAGTGGCAACTAGCACTACCTTTAATTTATATAATTTGATTATTTCTCAAAGGTGCTTGTGTGGGAAATGTCAATTCATGCCAACAGCTGAGGAAAGCATGTGCTGCAGGGAGGTTGATGCCTATTGGACCTTGGTGGAAAAGATAAACCCACCACAACCAAATATTACCTGTCTGACAGAACATCCAGGGTTTGAAGCTTGCTGTCTGAATCCTTATGTGCTTCAGATAGCTTACCTCAACTTCAGGCAGGAGTTTGGCCCTCTTGTTGCTACCCAGCATGAGTAGGTTCTCTTTTTCATCACATTTCTATCATGGTGGATGTCTGTGTTGACATGCAAATGTAACTCTGCAGGCAGTATCGCTACACAGCTTACAGGCAGGTGGTGCGCTGGGCATATGGCATCCTGGGCAGGCACATAAGAAAGCCCATACCATCATGCATTGTTTCCATAATAAGGAATTCCTTTCCAGAACAAGGGCAGTACAAAGGCTTTCAGTGGCCCAACTTACCAAATTATGAATAAAAAGGTAAATCTATGCTGTAGAAGTGTTTTTTGTATACAAAAACATTTAGAATATACACAATACAAAAAGTAACAATAATAACACATGCAAAGATATGACTAACAAAGTATGAACTTGCTTTGTCAATATTTACAATTATGTAGGAATATTGTACTATTAAAATCCAAAGTATTGGAGTTCACATTACAACTTACAAAACACTCATAACACTTAACAAGTAATTTGATATTAATATTACAATTAACCTGTGCATTTTCAAACCAGAAAAAAAAGAAAAACATGCCGAATATTTCTCACTCTTACTAACATTTCAATGGGCAAGTTCTCTAATAAGATGAAGACTGTAAGTGGTCTTATTCATTCACACTTTCTGACATGGTCGCTGTGTCTGACTATTGTGGTGAAGAGGGAGCAGTGTCTGCAGTCAGAGCTCTGGATTTCCCGCTCAGTGGTGGAAATTAGCAATTAGTATTCACTGGGAAGAAAATCTAGAATGAAGCGCTTTATATTGTCTGACTGCCTCCTCCTTTGGAACTTTCTGAAATGATGCTGTAAGAGGCTGCGGCGCGGAGGATGCCAGGAGAGCACTGCTTTGTCTCAACTCCTCCGGAGTGCTGCTGTAGGTTCGATGCAGAAGCTCCATAAGATCAAACGCATATTCTAATGGATACAGACATAAATTAGATGCATATACCAACAGTACAATCCATTTTATTCTTAGTTACGCTTGATGCAAACCATATGACGGAGTCTCCTTCATTGGACGGACCACTGCAGTACCCTTCATAAACCGTGGGTACCGTACTTGATGGCGGACCTCACCGTCAGATCGCAGAACTTCTCTGTTGCTGTTATGGTTGAAGTGAAGGGCAGCAAGAAGAAGCCTAATGGGAATTGGCAAAATTGTTGTTATAAAATAGGACAGTAAAACAGCAGTTTAAAAAATTTGCCAATATTTACCTGCTATACATGCCCAGGAAGGAGAACCCAGTGTGTTTCGGTGCAAAGTGGAGAATGAGCGCATGGAACGCCTCAAGTGAATAGGTCTGATGTGAGGGCGACAGTTGTCGCACATCTTTAACAAACATCGGCCGCATCGCCATGCTCTCCAGCTTTATGGATACCAGGGATCCTGTGATCAATTTATTTTGTCAGTGCAAGTTCAAACAAAATTGTATGCTTTCCTAGAATAATATATGGCGGCAGGCAGGCTAACACTCAGGCTTCACAGCATCTTTCTGTGGGGACTTTCTCCACGCGAGGGATGGTTAGCACACATGTTCACTTTTGTAATATTAACAACAACAATAATAATAAATCACCTGGTTCCAGCCACTGCTTCTCTCTGGTTTCTCCTTCCAGAGGAGGATGAGCACAGACTGGAAACCAGGGGCTCTTGTGAGTGTGGATGTCCTGGACATGGTTCACCAAACTAGTCCACTTTGCCTCCAACACTTCAGGATTGCCATCAGGTGTGGATGCAGCAGTCCAGTAAAGATGGTTAATAACTGCAGCTTTCCAGAGGGCGAGATCCTCACAGTGTTGCTCTTTAGAGGCAGCATCCAAAGCCTTCTTTAAACCTGAAAAACCAGAACATGAATTATAAAAGCAAAAATATTTCAGACGGTCCCAAGACAATTTATAATTAGATCATTATTACCACCATCTGTGATTGGGAGAATTTGTCCATTTGCTTATGACACAACTCCGGTTATGGGTGGATTTGGATTTGAAGTTTTTAGGAAACATGAACTATGGGCCAATCAACAATCCATTTTTGAGGTGAAACTAACTTTGTTTGTGCCATAACTCACCAAATGGCGGAGGTATAAGAGTGCTTTCATAGTTACCTTTACTAACATGCCAAATATCGAAGAAATGTTTTGTGCCTTCTGGACATAGCTTCTCACGCACCCACTTGGCCACCTTTTGAGTAACAAAAGTCTTTGACATAAATGACTGTGACTGAAGATATTATTAAAAGTTATCCACATTCATTTACCTGGCGATTTCGATCAGTCACAAGCGTAGAGACACTAATTTTCTCCTTAGAAAGAAGGTTGATGGTCCGCTTTAGTCCCTCCAATTCACACCAATTACTATTGGGTACTTCCGAGCTCTTTGAGAGGCACACAAAACAGGATTATTCTCATCCCAAACTTTGTGTACAAGGCACGACTAACTATGAACCTTTTAAATACAGAATTCCTTATGCCTTATACATGATGGTATTTAATATTAAATTCTATATTGACATTAATAACTAATCATGGCTGGTTTGAAAATGTATGTAATGCATTCATATTTTTCCATCTCCACCTCTGCAGATAGTTTTGGCTTGGTCAACACATGGGTTTACTTATGGTGCATGTTATTGTGTGGTAGTAGAAACCGTGCCCGGAGAAAATCCACCCAGACACGTAGATAATCATGTGATCACCGTGCAGATAGGCCATATTGAAATTGAAACATGTGACTCAGCCACAGTATTGCCATACCTGAACAAGTTGAAGGTCCAAAACTTTGTTTATCCTCTCCTCAATTACGGTGTATGTTCCAAATTTAGCACAATGCCCCGGTGAATCAGATCTGTTCAAATGTTTGTTTGTTTATACATTGTTATAATTATTCACACCGTATGAGAGTTATTCATCTTCAACTCACCTGCAGTCGCCAGCAAGAATAAGCCCTCCCTCTTTGGCCTTCAGTTGGTTCAGAATTTGTGCTTGTTTGTTCTTCCACGTTCCAATGATGGTGGGGATCGTGTATAGTTGCTGGTGTCGAAAGAATGTCCTAACACTTATACATTGCACTCCAAGCAGGCCAAGCATCCTCAAAGCCTGTGTTGGCATGCACCCTGAAAAGTGGATAGCCCCACTAAGCATCAAGTTGCACAAAGGCATATATTTGTGCATCTTTGGTTGGTTCTGCCATTCCGTTCAAAACCACAAGCAGAGCAAATCTGTAAGAAAATTAATTCATTAAGTTATACAATAAAAACAGCCAACAGTGAGAACAGAGTTACTCATGGTAAAGACAATCTTGCCTGTTCCACTTTAATAAAGGTTCCCTGTTGGTGTTTTACTTTTCGCTGGGTTTCCTCAGAACATTGTGGACAAACGGCAAACAAGGACAGCAATTGTGATTCACAAACTATAAATTTGTCTGCAAATCTATTGAAAAGTAAAGTTAATACATTTACTTCCCCATTAGAACAGTCCAATTATACAACAATGATCACTTACTTTGTATTTCTCTGTTCTTCGTCCTGTGCCTCTTCCTCCGATGTATCAGTGTCCATTTCCTCCTCCTCAATGCTCCAAGAGCTGTCCCACTGATGACTATCAAAATCAAAGGAGGACTGCTCATCCTCCTCATCATTCTTCACAGGTGTAGAGGTCACATGATTGATGGCCGTTGTAGTGGAATGAATATCCTCTTCAGTTTGAGTGCCAATACTTATCAATGTAGGCTTCACCTGGACACCTTGAACATAAGGGAAAACTTTCTGAATCAGGGGGGGAAAAATGTTTTCCATTTTATATTATAATTAAGTTCTACAAAGTGAGTGTGACATGTGTTAGTAACTTTTAGATACTATTTCAATCTATGTTGGGAAACAAACATAACCGGATGAACGATAAGGAAGTCTTATGTTGCACTGTAGAGCCTGATCGATAGTTCTTGGCAAAGAATCAGTGGTAAAGTCTTCATTGGGTTCATTCATGATTTCTTTTGTAAGAGCTTCATCATCTTCACTCAAAATCTGAAACGCACAAAAACATTTACTACACATCATCTGTCAGCAGCTTGTATGAAGCTAAACAAGCTTCGAAAAATTGTAATTTCCAACAAATTTCCTTATATGAGCAAAACAGGACAAATACTAAACCGCAAACTTGGTTATAATTGAATGTTGCGTTATGCTGCTCATTTGTAAAAGTTTAGACAATTTTCTTGGTTCAAAAATGTCACAATTCAACTTGTAAATTACTGAAATGGGAACAGCACTCCCAGTTAGAAATTGGGAAATACCAGCTGACAAATTAGTCCCACCACTTCAGTAACTTACGAGTTCAACTGTGACGTTTTTAAACACAATGGATTTTAAATGACTAACACAGATACAAATAGAAAATTATGGTTTAGTATTGGAAATTTTGTTTACACAAGTTAATTTGTTGAAACGTGTTACAAACATGCAGTACATTCATTCACATAATGCTAGCTTATGCTATATGCTTGCTAGTTGAACTCGAGTAGCTAACATATGTATCCAACACAATAGCGCTTATGTAGCTAATACATTTAAATAGAAACAACGGTAACTGTTACTTACTGAAAATAACCAGCGTTTTGTTGAAGCTGATGAAGATCTTTCTGTACCAGCACCTACATTACCCGCGTTAGCACTAGCACCCCCGCTAGCACCCCCGCTAGCACCCCCGCTAGCAGCCGCACTAGCAGCAGACAAAGATAAAGACACTGGGCACGGCTCCTTCAGTCAGCCTCACATTGTTTCGACTTTTGAAGCCCATCTCCATTTCCATCAGATCTCCACTTAGATAGTCCTCTTTCTTGAAATGGGCTTCACAGATGACAGAGCTCATGGTCACAGAGGCCGCGGTAAAGTCCTTCCTCTTCGTCTGTACAAAATTCACCCAGGCACGGAAAAGAGAAGACTTTTTTTTTCCTTTGGGAAAATAATGTACCCTGAATCCGGAGGATGAAGAATTCGTGCACCCTCCACACACACAATAGTTAACCATATTCACTAAAATAAACGACAAATTGACAGAAAATCCGATACCAGCTACTAGGGGTGATAGCAATAACTAGAGTGAGGCAAGTTCAAACTCCCTTACGCTACGTCACGTGACTAAGGATTTTGCGGAAGTGTCACAAATAGATGTCTATTTGAGGTATTTTACAAACGAATTGTGTAATTTATTATTTAATGAGAACTTTTATCATTTTCATGGGGATGAAGGAATTATATGAGAGGGAAATCAAATGATTTATTGTATCTGTCATATGCACTTTAAGGAGCTCTTCTGTCCTCCACTCGTTACCTGTATTAATGGCACCTGTTTGAACTCGTTATCTGTATAAAAGACACCTGTCCACAGCCTCAAACAGTCAGACTCCAAACTCCACTATGGCCAAGACCAAAGAGCTGTCGAATGACACCAGGAAAATAATTGTAGACCTGCACCAGACTGGGAAGAGTGAATCTACAATAGGCAAGCAGCTTGGTGTGAACAAATAAACCGTGGGAGCAATTATTAGAAAATGGAAGACCACTGCTAATCTCCCTCGATCTGGGGCTCCACGCAAGATCTCATCCCGTGGGGTCAAAATGATCATGAGAACGGTGATCAAAAATCCCATAACCACACGGGGGGACCTGGTGAATGACCTGCAGAGAGCTGGGATCAAAGTAACAAAGGTCACCATCAGTAACACACTACAACGACAGGGAATCAAATCCTGCAGTGCCAGACGTGTCCCCCTGCTGAAGCCAGTGCATGTCCAGGCCCGTCTGAAGTTTGCCAGAGAGCACATGGATGATACAGCAGGGGATAGGGAGAATGTCATGTGGTCAGATGAAACCAAAGTAGAACTGTTTGGTATAAACTCAACTCGTCGTGTTTGGAGGAAGAAGAATACTACTCCCAAGAACACCATACCTACTGTGAAGCATGGGGGTGGAAACGTCATGCTTTGGGGTTGTTTTTCTGCTAAGGGGATAGGACGACTGATCCGTGTTAAGGAGAGAATGAATGGGGCCATGTATCGTGAGATTTTGAGCCAAAACCTTCCATCAGTGAGAGCTTTGAAGATGAAACGTGGCTGGATCTTCCAGCATGACAATGATCCCAAACACACCGCCCCGGCAACGAAGGAGTGACTCCGTAAGAAGCATTTGAAAGTCCTGGAGTGGCCTAGCCAGTCACCAGACCTCAGCCCCATTGAAAATCTGTGGAGGGAGTAGATAGCTCGGCGATAGCCCCGAAACACTGCTCTCGAGAAGATCTGCATGGAGGAATGGGTCAAAATACCAGCTACTGTGTGTGCAAACCTGGTAAAGACCTATAGTAATCGTTTGACCTCTGTTATTGCCAACAAAGGTTATATTACAAAGTATTGAGTTGAATTTTTGTTATTGACCAAAAACTTAATTTCCACCATAATCTACAAATAAATTCTTTAAAAATCCTACAATGTGAATTCCTGGATTATTTTTCACTTTCTGTCTCTCACAGTTGAAGTGTACCTATGATGAAAATGACAGACCTCTGTCATTATTTTAAGTGGGAGAACTTGCACAATTGGTGGCTGAATAAATACTTTTTTGCCCCACTGTACGTGTAGGTCTGTGTGAACATGATCACATACGTGTAGGTCTCTGTGAACGTGATCACATACGTGTAGGTCTCTGTGAATGTGATCACATACGTGTAGGTCTCTGTGAATGTGATCACATACGTGTAGGTCTGTGTGAACGTGATCACATACGTGTAGGTCATAAATGTGACGCTGGATGAAACGTTAATGTTTTATTCCTATTGTAAAACATGATGCATTTATGAGATCGCCGTAATCAGACCACGTTGTTTTTACATTTGTCGGATGTCTCTGACTCGTCGGCTTTAGTTTAAAGGTTGATTAAAAATGAACACATGAAAACATTAGATTCAGTTTCATGTGTTCATTGACACAGAGGAAACTAGAAAGAACTAGATAAAACATTTGAATATTGTTCCAAAGTCAATTTCCCTCTTGTAATTTAACTTACACTGAGAAACTAATATTAATATCTTTAAACATCTGAATATTTATCACCAACAAAGGCAAATGTCACTTGGTATTTCATGTTGAATCACAGAAGTCAATGAACTTTTATATTGATTTAATGAAATATATAATATGGAACATTATGCATGATATTTAAATAATTCTGAATTAACTGAGTTTTCTGAGTTTTTAAGTCTCGTGAGACTAAGATTGATATTTCTCTCCCGAATTCGTTCCCATTTTTGTGAGAATTGTTAAACAGTCGCCAACACTAATATAGACGTAACTGCTTATTTTGTGTTTGCGTCACTTATTTGAATGTGTATCAAAGTATATTTAATTTTTCAGTCCATCACACGTGAAATACCAGAGCGTGTTTAAAAATGCACTTTGAACATGTCTTATCTAATCAGGTCATAAAAAACATGCAATGAACAAATCGAACCTGCGTCAAACATAAAATATTCATGATTATAGTGTCAAAAACATCTCCTACTCTACTCTTTTCTCTCCTCCCCCCTCTCCTCAAAGTGTCTTGCCAGAACACGACAGAAGACGTAGGAGCACAAGTTTTCCTGAGAAAATAGATTGTGTATAACATGTCTTGGTCGCTCATTACCATCAATGCTGCGAGTTAAGAATAGTCATTGAAATCATTTTACTAACCTAATCTGTCTTTTTATTTATTTATTTCTGAAAACAAAAATAAAACGCTTTTCTTTAGCATAATGATGATCTAAAACCATGTGGGTCCGTGTCTGTTGGTCTGTGTCTGCAGGTGGACTGGTGCTGCCCGGCTGTCGCAGTAACGCTCCACCCTCATCATGCCGTTCCCTTTCGGCAAATCACACAAGTCTCCGGTCGACATCGTGAAGAACCTGAAGGACAGTATGACGATCCTGGAGAAGCACGACATCTCTGACAAGAAGGCCGAGAAGGTCTGGTCTCTTTCTGGTCTCTCTCTGGTCTCTCTCTCTGGTCTCCCTCTCTCTTGTCTGTCTCTCTCTTGTCTGTCTCTCTGGTCTCTCTCTCTGGTCTGTCTCTCTCTTGTCTGTCTCTCTGGTTGCTCTCTCTCTTGTCTTTCTCTCTTGTCTTTCTCTCTGGTCGCTCTCTCTGGTCGCTCTCTCTGGTCGCTCTCTCTGGTCGCTCTCTCTGGTCGCTCTCTCTGATCTCTCTCTCTGGTCTCTTCCTGGCCTCTACTGTGCACATACTAGTGATACAGACACACACTTCTTCAGCGACCTTGGAGAAACATACAGTATATTGTTGTGGTGTGTTGCAGGCGACGGAGGACGTGTCCAAAAGCCTGGTGGCCATGAAGGACATTCTTTACGGCACCACAGAGAAGGAGCCTCAGACTGAAGCTGTCGCACAACTGTCTCAGGAGCTCTACAACAGCGGCCTCCTCGGCACGCTCATCGCAGACCTACAACTCATCGACTTCGAGGTGAGAGACTCAGGAACAGAAACACGTGTGACCTGTTTATTTAAGTTTCTAAAAGGCCTACAGTACAACTTTATTTGGACCCAAAGATAGGTTTGTTTGTGTTGATTTGTCAAAGTTCAGTGTTTGGGACAAAGAGGCTTGTTTCTGTAGGTTATTAGAAAACACAGTGTCATAGACTTCAGCTTCTATGACACTATGTATGACACTTCGGCACGGTTGCTGAGTGGTTAGCGCTCTCGCTTCTCAGAAAGAAGGTCCTGGGTTCGAATCCCGGTCGGAACAGGGTCTTTCTGAGTGGAATTTGCATGTTCTCTCCGTGCCTGTGTAGGTTTCCTCCGGGTACTCCGGTTTCCTCCAACCACTAAACCCATGCTCACTAGGTTAAATCCTCCAGCTCTGGTCCTGACCAAGCCAAGCATCAACATCTGGAGATGGGTTCCTGGGCACTGTTACTACGGCGACCACTGCTCCTGACGTAAGCCTTCGCGGCATCAGGGTCAAATGCAGAGGATTGAATGGCCCTACGTGGATCAATAAAGTGCACCTTTACCTTTACCTTCATGGAAGGATGAAGGAAAGCATCTCCCTTCAGTTCCACAGCCGCTGGAGTGGCCACAGCCGCTGGAGTGGCCACAGCCGCTGGAGTGGCCACAGCCGCTGGAGTGGCCACAGCCGCTGGAGTGGCCACAGCCGCTGGAGTGGCCACAGCCGCTGGAGTGGCCACGTTGAGTCACACACGTCATGAGCACTGAGCACATATGTGTGAACAGGCGTAAGCAGCTGTGTTTGAGGAGGTGTGGACACTATGTAGACAAACTGGATCAGACTGAGTCAGCTCCATGAGTCACTGCAGCCTCTGCCACAGACAGATCTGTGGGGACGAGAGGGACGAGAAGGACGTGGGGGACGAGAGGGACATGCTTCCCTCGGGTCAGAATCACCCCCACAGACTTATACAATAGTAGAAAGACAGTCTACATTAGGGTCTAAAAGGATCAGTGATTATAGAATAGAAGACAGCCTACATTAGGGTCTAAAAGAATCAGTCATTATACAATAGTAGAAAGATGACCTACATTAGGGTCTAAAAGGATCACAGTGATTATAGAATGGTAGAAAGACGGCCTACATTAGGATGTAAAAGGATCACAGTCATTATAGACCAGGGGTGCTCAATACGTCGATCGCGATCTACCAGTCGATCGCAAAGGTAGTATTGGTAGATCGCATTAAATAAATAAAAAATTACACATTCTAAACGAATATATACAAAAAACTCCGGGCAAAGTGGAGATTTTTGAAAACTCCGTTAATGCATTTGTGTGTAGACAGAGATAACCGGAGTTTTGCGTTCTCGCATGCAGTACCCCCCTAAATTCCTCTGATCACTGAAGCATGGATCATACTACCTTAAAAACTGTTCGCTGTGAGATGCTTGCAGCAGCGAACATCCTCGCTCCACATCAGAGAGCAGCAAAGTGATCGCGGGGACTCGCGCTTGAAAACAACTAAACCAGGACTAAACCAGGACTAAACCAGGGCTGAGGACGGGGTCAGTGCTTGTAAACATACGTCTTTACTCTGAGTGTCTTCTATGACAGTAAAAGTGCCGTTACCGGCGTCTGCATCAAAGCTCCGCCCACTTCCGTGTTTTTCCCCAACGCAGGACAGGACGTAAGAGACGCACATGTTTGGAATGTTAAGCCTAGTGTATACTCGCGCGGTGCGGAGCTTACGGAGGTGACGTGACGTCACTTGCGCAACGCGTTGGTCACCGCAAGGCCCTTACGTTGCCTGTCGCGCAGCAACGAAATTTTCTAACTACGTAAGGGTCGCCGCAAGGAAGCTCCGCTGTGATTGGTCCGTGTGTGTATTGGAAGGAAGCACGGAGCGGCTGCAGGGACATGGACGAGGCACTATGGAGCAGAGAGCTTTGTGCTTCGAAGGAAAAGCAGTTTGGGCTCAGAGCCTGATATACAGGAGACTGTGGACTATCTAACATATATATAACTTGTATCTAACATATATATAACTTGTATCTAACATATATATAACTTGTATCTAACATATATATAACTTGTATCTAACATATATATAACTTGTATCTAACATATATATAACTTGTATCTAACATATATATAACTTGTATCTAACATATATATAACTTGTATCTAACATATATATAACTTGTATCTAACATATATATAACTTATATCTAACATATATATAACTTATAAACTGTGCAGTCGTTTGTTTTGACTGTTCCTGTCTTTGTTTGAATCGTAGCTGCGTTTGTTGCTTTCCTCCTGCACTCGTAAATCGTTCATGTTTGTCTCAGATATTTACCACTATTATTGTTTTGCTGTTTGTGCTGAAAACTATTTAATAACTGTTTCCAACAAGAACTGTGTCTTTATTCACAGCATCCCAGTTGAAATGACTTATAAAATAATGAATCCATAAAACTATCACATAAACCTACAGTAGAAACACGTGTAATGAGCTCAAACAGCTTTGTTTGCTATTGTTGTTCTGAAGAGGACAAAGTAGCAGCGTAAATGGAACCGCTCCTGTGTGATCGCCCTCATGTGGTTTGTTGTGGGATTACAACATTCTCCTCAAAACTCCGTAAGGGGAACGCGCCAGTATAAAATCAATTGTGCTTACGTAGGTCCACCGCAACCGCTAACGTAAGCCACGCCGCGCAAGTATACACTAGGCTTTAGGTGACTGCACATGCGCAAACAACCGCGCTCAGTGCAGGAAAGCTAAACAACGACAAACTTGTCAGCGAGTTACCACCAATTTTCCGGACTATGCATCCCTGGCCGATTCAATTCAGTGCAAGTAATCAGAGTAAACTCTGGTAATGACAAAAAATGTACATAGGTAATTGTGTTGTGTTGTGCTATATTGGCTCATGCGGTTTTGCATGTACATAAAAATGCATTGTAGGTATAAAGAATATTTTTTGAAATAAATATATGATTTGCATTTTTGTAGTAGGTAGATCATTTTGACTTGATCCTTTTATAAGTAGCTCGCAGGCTGAAAAAGTGTGAGCACCCCTGTTATAGACGATCGGTCCTGATGCCGTGGTGCAATCTTAGAAATTTAACTTTTTCAGTGTATGTTCGAATGAGTGCTTTGAGTTGTAAACTTTAACCTCCTTGTAATCAGTGGTTGTTTCACGTTATTGTCTCCAGGGGAAGAAAGATGTGGCTCAGATTTTCAACAACATCCTGCGGCGCCAGATCGGAACTCGCACTCCCACCGTGGAGTATCTCTGCACCCAACAGAACATCCTCTTCATGCTGCTCAAAGGGTCAGTCTGAATCTGCACAGTCTGGAAACTATAGTCACTGCAGAGAGGTCCGTGTACTGAGGTCCGTGTACTGAGGTCCGTGTACTGAGGTCCGTGTACTGAGGTCCGTGTACTGAGGTCCGTGTACTGAGGTCCTGAGGTCCGTGTACTGAGGTACAGCGTGTAAACTAGAGTGGTCCAAAACACTCTCCTCAGCTTTGACCATAGATTCAGATTCAGTTTATTTGCCATTTGCAGTAAAAACACCACATAGGAATACATTAGCAAAAGTCACCAGTGTGCACTGACAAATACAGACATAAAACAACATTAAAAGACAAAAATAAAACAAATAAAACAGTAAACAAATGTCAAATGTGAAATCGATCGACTAAAACAGTTTCAAAACAAGTGCAAATCATTAAAGTGCTCTGTTCACACTGATAACAGCTTGTGGATAAAAACTGTTAGCGTAACGAGATGTCCTGCATCTCAGAGAGCGATATCTTCTGCCAGAGGGAAGAAGCTGGAACATGGCTTTCCCAGGGTGGCCAGAAGAGTCGTTGACAATCCTAAGAGCTTTGTTTAAAAGTCTGGATTTATAAAGAACCTCCAGAACAGGAAGCTCACAGCCCACGGTCCTCTTTGCAGAGCGGAGCACCTTGTTTAAAGATCTCTTTTCTTTATCTGTGATGTTTCCAAACCACACAGACACAGAACCAACAAGTAAACTCTCAATGGTGCAGCGATAAAAGTTAAGCAGAATCTTAGAGTTATTGGTAAATTCTCTAAGTTTACGCAGAAAGTAGAGACGCTGACGAGCTTTCTTAACGACCCGGTCAGTGTTTTTAACCCATTTCAGGTCGTTAGACAGAGTTAAACCCAGAAACTTGCACTCCTCTACAATCTGCACTCTGGAGTTGTCGATTACGACAGGCAAATGAGAACTATTGCGACTGAAGTCGTAGACCAGTTCACATGTTTTCGATGCGTTCAACTGGAGGTTTAGTTTTACTCCACTGAACCACATTTTGTATCTCTGCTCTATAAGAGGATTCATCATTGTTACTGATGAGACCGATGATGGTGGTGTCATCAGCATATTTGATGATCAAGTTTGAGTCAGAGGAGGACACACAATCGTGAGTGTACAAAGTAAAAAGCAAAGGACTCAAAATACATCCCTGAGGAGAACCAGTGCTCACAGAAACAACATCAGAAAAAGTCATTAATTTTCACTCTCTGAGATCTGTCAGTTAAAAAGCTAAAAATCCATATACACATGGCAACACTTAAACCTAGAGACATGAGCTTTTCAATCAGTTTACCTGGGACAAGGCAGTTAAAAGCAGAGCTATAATCAATGAAAAGCATTCTCGCGACAGATTTAAGTGACTGTAGACAGAGTTCAGAGCAAAGGAGATGGCATCCTCCACACTCCTGTTCTGTCTGTAAGCAAACTGGAGCGGGTCAACACTCACAGGGATCTGGCTCTTAATGAAGTCGAGCACAAGCCGCTCAAAAGTTTTCATAAGAACAGACGTGAGGGCCACAGGAAGATAGTCACTCAGGCATGTCACAGGATTTTTCTTAGGAACTGGAATGATGGTCGACTCTTTAAAGCAGTTCGGCACAGTACAGTTCCTTAGCGACAGGTTGAAAATGTCTGTTAGCACAAGTTGCTCAGAGCACAGTTTCAGGACACGAGGAGGGATGCCGCCTGGGGCTTTCCGGACTGTGGTCCTGGACAAGACACGCCTGACTTCCTCCTGAGTCACGGTGAAGGTACCTTGATTGAAACACTCAGGGAATACAGTAGGACAGGCATCAGTGGATTCAAAGCGACAGTAGAACGTGTTCAGCTCGTTTGGCAGAGCTTGGCCGACAGATGCAATTTTCCCAGCGCTAGGTTTCCACGAAGTGATGGCTTTAATACCGTTCCACATGCGCCGAGGGTCATCTTCCTCAAAATAACTCTTTAACCTGTCCCCGTAACTGCGTAAACTCGTGTTTTCAAATAATTGATTTTTACATCTAAATCATTAATTTGTGGCCTATTTAAAGCGTAACTGCAATGCCTGGGTCTGAGTCTTATTATTTGTAGCTCCACGGGCCTTTCTTCTACACCTGTTCTGAGGTGCGTCTGAGAGCAACCTGTTTTGGTGCTGTCTCTTTAAATGCAAATGAGGCGCTTTTGACCACCCCCCCATCCAGGTGACAAAGGTTCAACTCCACCCCGAGCGGCCATTTTCATAGTTTCTAAGCACAGATACAATTATCTCATAGAAACTTCTCATTACATCGCAAACATGAAGCAGGCCTTCCTCATTGACTGAAAGCAAATGTTAATTTTCATTCTTAGTCCAGTCTTATTATCGACTCTTCTCTTTTTAGCTTTGGGATCTATGCGCACAGTCAAGGCAAGGAAAGGCAAGTTTATTTATATAGCACAATTCATACACAAGGCAATTCAAAGTGCTGAACAAAATAAGAAAGCATTAAAATCATAAATAATCACAGAACATTAAAAAGAAAGATAACAATATAAAATCCCTCAGTTGTATGTACAACTAAACAGAACTGTTTTTAACCTGGTTTTAAACATTGTCAGAGAGGAGGCCTGTCTCACATCTTCAGGAAGACTGTTCCAGATTTTAGCAGCATGAATCTGAAAAGCAGCCTCCCCATGTTTAGTTCTGACTCTGGGCACTAACAGGAGTCCAGTCCCTGTGCTCCTCAGAGTCCCAGCAGGAGTCCAGTCCCTGTGCTCCTCAGAGTCCCAGCAGGAGTCCAGTCCCTGTGCTCCTCAGAGTCCCAGCAGGAGTCCAGTCCCTGTGCTCCTCAGAGTCCCAGCAGGAGTCCAGTCCCTGTGCTCCTCAGAGTCCCAGCAGGAGTCCAGTCCCTGTGCTCCTCAGAGTCCCAGCAGGAGTCCAGTCCCTGTGCTCCTCAGAGTCCCAGCAGGAGTCCAGTCCCTGTGCTCCTCAGAGTCCCAGCAGGAGTCCAGTCCCTGTGCTCCTCAGAGTCCCAGCAGGAGTCCAGTCCCTGTGCTCCTCAGAGTCCCAGCAGGAGTCCAGTCCCTGTGCTCCTCAGAGTCCGGGCTGGTTCGTATGGTACCAACATGTCACTAATATATTTTGGAGCGAGGCCATGGAGAGACTTGTACACAAGCAGAGCTCACATGCCGGTTTGTTTACAACAGCGGCCGCCTGGCGCTGGCCTACGTCACAGGATAAGACGCACTACGCTGACAGAAATGTTTAAATTGAATATTACTTATGCACAATTTTACAGCATTTAATAACGTTAATAACGTTTTTCCTTCTACAGAAGGAAAAAGACTCATGCACCTCCGGAGCCGCAGGTTGCCGACTCCTAGTTTATACAGTATGTGGAAGCAAATACTGTAGAGGATCAGGATATGTGCAGTTTCAACAATAAAATAAAATGCAATAGTCTACATTACAAGAGGGTAATAAACATGTCTCAGAGTGAGGGAGGTGGACACAGACAACACTGTTGTTTGTTACAGGGATGAGAATTGGTCAAAAAAGACTGAAATACATATTGTCAGCCATTTGCTGGCTCTAAATCTGTTTAATTTGTTCACAACATATTACTTTTGGGCTCAAACATGAACTTTTAATGCAATGCAAAATTTAGGTATCAGAGCTTTATTTTGGGCGTTTAATCGCGCTTCGAGGGGAGAGGGGAGACGCGGACTGTTTCCTGCATTAGTGTATTTATTGGGTGCACAGATTACTCAAAGATACGCATGGTCCTGTGCGCGTTTATAGGGTTGGGTACATGGCCAAGTTGAGGCTGCGCGCTCAGCCACAACACGGTGGAGCGGCTGGACGCTCACAGCCTCTCGCAGCCGCATTACAAAGCGGCCGCAGATGCCCCGGAACACTGCGGCCGCTGAGGTGGCAGAATCCCGTTCGAGTACATACAGCAGGTGCCCCCCGGATACGCGCGCCCCGCTCAAACCATTTTCAACGGATTTACACTTCTCGTAAACATGTGTTTTGTATGAGGCAGACAGACCGGCCCAAAAATGGGCATTGGCCCTTTGGGCATTGCCCGGTACGCCCGATGGCCAGTCCAGCCCTGTTCGCTGGCATCCTTGAGCTTGGACTACAAATTCGAAGTGATGCACAGTAGAGGAGGGTTGGGCCAAAGTGTTTTGTTAGACGCCCATGCCCTTATATAGCAGTCTCGCTGCAAATACTGTGACGTAATAATTCTAAACACGTAATAGAGAATGGCAAAATCAGAACGGGTTGAAAAATCTTACCTAAACAGAATATGAAGTGTTCTCTGCAACCCATGAAGAGACTGATTTCAACTTTTTTGCACTTCTAGAGGCTCCAACTACACAACATAAGGCATTTAAGGCACAAAAAGTGGATTTTTCATGATATGTCCCCTTTAAATTTATTGAAATCCCCAGCAACAATGATGACTGCGTTAGGATGAGCAGACTCATGTTTGTGAAGGATCTCGCTCAGATCCTGTAGGGCTACTTTGTAATCCGCACATGGGTGAATGTAAACGGCACATAAAAATATCACTGAAAACTCACGGGGAAGATAAAAAGGGCGGCAGCTCAAGACCAGGCATTCCAGATTGGCAGTACATGTTTGGTTCACAATTCGAGTGTCCGTGCATCAGCACTGATTAATTAAGGGTGTATTCAGACCTGAAAAGTCCTTTGCTCCGCTTGCTTGATCCGAATCAAAAGCGGACCAAACTTTTTTTCTTTTGCTCCGGTCAGATTCAGACTGTCCTTTTTTGCAAGTGAACTTTTTTATATAAACATATTGACACGTGTGACGATCTGCGCTCCTATTGGACAACAGAGCTCACGGAGGATAGACGCGGAACCGGCGGAAAACATTGAGGGCTCGTATGTGCAGCATGTCTGCTCTGTCTATGTTTGCCCTTTTTAGAGCAAAACCACCTTCAACATCAACAGCAGCAGCTCATATGACACAGGCGAAACACGTTGTTTTAAATATTGGAACAGCGTCGGAGAATGCGTGAGGAGAAAGCCGAAGGAGACTGTCTGTGCGCTCCGTGCCCTCCGTGCCCTGTCCCACACATGGATCTATGATAATAACGGCCCTGTTCAGCATTGTGGATAAACCATGGATCTATAATAACCACGGGACAAACAGACGCTGAGGATCAGGTAGGAACCAAAGAACACAATTCACTACATGATGCAGAATATTGCTCTTTGAAACGTGAGTCAAACACGTCAGGCTTTTAATAATGCAAATGGTTTGAAGATGCTGCCATTACCATCACTGTATACTGTGAACAGTTTTAACTCCATAAGCCTGTTGCACAGCGTCTCCTCACTGCTCCAGGTCTGCCCACGGCTCGTTGTTGTGTAGCATGCATTAGCAGCATAGTTAGCCGCTGCATGGCTAATTCCTCAGTTTCTGTCTGCGGTGGCTTGTTAAGCCCAAAAAATTCGCACGTATCTTGGAGTTGTCGGGTCGACACCGGATGTATTCAGACCTGATTCGACTTAGACCAGAATTCGTTTGGAAGCGGACCGAGACCACCTAAGGGTGTATTCAGACCTGCACATTTGCTCCACTTTAAACGGACCAGGATTCGTTTGGAACTCTGATCCGAATCTTTTATGCAGGTCTGAATACACACAAACGAATCCTGGTCCGGACCAAAGAACCGAACCGAGACCCACTTTTTGAGGTGGTCTCGGTCCGCTTCCAAACGAATTCTGGTCCAAGTCGAATCAGGTCTGAATACATCCGGTGTCTATCCGACACAACTCCAAGATACGTGCGCATTTTTTGGGCTTAAGCCGCAGACAGAAACTGAGGAATTAGCCACGCAGCGGCTAACTATGCAGCTAACTATGCTGCTAACGCTACACAACAACACTGAGCCGTCTGCAGACCTGGAGCAGTGAGGAGACGCTGTGCAACAGGCTTATGGAGTTAAAACTGTTCACAGTATACAGTGATGTGAATGGCAGCATCTTCAAACCATTTGTATTATTAAAAGCCTGACACTGTTTGACTCACGTCTCAAAGAGCAATATTCCGCATCATGGAGTGAATTGTGTTCTGTGGTTCCTACCTGATCCTCAGCGTCTGTTTGTCCCGTGGTTATTATAGATCCATGGTTTATCCACAATGCTGAACAGGGCCGTTATTATAATAGATCCATGTGTGGGACAGGACACGGAGCGCACAGTCTCCTTCAGCTTTCTCATCACGCATTCTCCGCCGCTGTTCCAATATTTAAAACAACGTGTTTCGCCTGCGTCATATGAGCTGCTGTTGATGTTGAAGGTGGTTTTGCTCTAAAAAGAGCAAACATAGGCAGAGCAGACATGCTGCACATACGAGCCCTCAATGTTTTCCTCCGGTTCCGCGTCTATCCTCCGTGAGCTCTCGCTGTCCAATAGGAGCGCCGATCGTCACACGTGTCGATATGTTTATATAAAAAAGTTCACTTGCAAAAAAGACAGTCTGAATACAAACCGGAGCAAAAGAAAAAAGTTTGGTCCGCTTTTGATTCGGATCAAGCAAGCGGAGCAAAGAACTTTTCAGGTCTGAATACACCCTAAAAAAGTGGAGTTCAGTTCTTTGGTCCGGACCAGGATTCGTTTGTGTGTATTCAGACCTGCATAAAAGCTTCGGATCAGAGTTCCAAACGAATCCTGGTCTGTTTAAAGTGGAGCAAATGTGCAGGTCTGAATACACCCTAAAAAGCACACACCTCCGCCTCTGGCCTTGCCTGTGGTCTCCTTCACTCTGTCCGCGCGGTGAGCGGTGAATCCCGGGGGCTGAACAGCAGAGTCCGGGACGTTCGAGTGGAGCCACGTCTCGCTGAGGCAGAACTGGCTCTGGACCCGACACAGGAGCTTGTCCGTCTTGTTGGGCAGAGACTGGACGTTGGCCAGGTAGATGGAGGGCAAAGGGGTCCTGGAGGAGCGGCTACGAACGAGCAGACCGCCTCGCCTTCCCCGGTGTCTGCGCCTCCTTCGCCGACTCGAGGTGCCCAGCTCCACACCGCGGAGAGAACGCCGGAGACGCCCAGTCCCCTCGCTCTGTTAGCGGCCACCGCCGCGGCCCGCCTGCCGTGCTCCACCAGCCTCTCGAGTGGGACACTCGAGGAAGTTTGTGCACCTCAGTTCAGGTAAAACGAGTAAAGTGAATCCCAGACGAAAAACAACAAAACACAGATTGTGCGCACCAGAGCGTTCACTGCGGCGCCCTGACATGGCACCATCTTGCTAGTCCTCGTGCTCTCTCTCCCTGGACAAATCTTGACAGACTTAGACTGTATATATTAATGGACAGAGTCACGCCTATCTCTGCCGTTCTAACTAATGGGCCAAAAAATGTGCTCTACTGGAGCAATCCAAAAGGGCCGCGAGTGGTCCCGCCCACATGAAAATTGTGGAAAAACACATCTGCGCATGCGTCAGCCGGCGCAACTCCTTAAAATATTCACAGCAAGTAAACTAGAGTGGACCAAAAAAATCCACCCCCCCCCCTCAGCATTGACACACATGTGGAACGGAGCATTGGGCCAAGAACCAACTTTTGGTCAATCCTGTAAAGACGTTTTTGAGAGGTCTGCCAATGCTATATGTTAGCATTGGCTAATTCTACTTCTGGGTCCACCCCCATCGACCCGGGGTGGTATTGAAAGCATGTCAGCGCACGTCATTTTGGCCACTTTTGAGCTGGGACCCTCCCCCACTGGCTTTGACACACATGTGGAACGGAGCTTTGGGTCAAGAGTCACTTTTGGACCATCCTTTAAAGACGTTTTCGAGAGGTCAGAAGATGCTATATGTTAGCATTGGCTAATTTTTATTCCGGGTCCTCCCCCACAGGCCTGGGGTGGTATTACAGTATGTCAGCGCACGTCATTTTGGCCACTTTTGAGCCGGGACCCGCCCCCACTGGGGAAAAGCCCCGAGTCCAGCGGTGCACTCTCGCCTCTCATAGCACTCTCGCCTCTCAGCTAGAAGGTTCTGGGTTCGAATCCCGGTTCGGAACAGGGCCTTTCTGAGTAGAGTTTTCCTTTTCTCCCTGTTTCTCCGTTGGTTTCCTCCGCGTACTCCGGTTTTCCCTACCACTAAAACATGTGCAATAGTTCAGGGTGAATGAGTGTGTGTTTGTGAGTGCGAATGTGGGACAACGGATGGAAATTAGCCCATGGCCACAATCCGGAGTGATGTGTTCATTAACATGTACTGTCCCAACCAAATAAACAATAAACATTACATTCGGCACGGTGGCTGAGTGGATAGCACTCTCGCCTCTCAGCAAGAAGGTCCTGGGTTCGAATCCCGGTTGGACCAGGGCCTTTCTGAGTGGAGTTTGCATGTTCTCCCCGTGTCTGCGTAGGTTTCCTCCGGGTGCTCCGGTTTCCCCTACCACTAAAAATATGTACAATAGATCTGGCATGTGCCTCCTGTACTGGCACCCCCAATCCCAAAAAAAAAAAAATCACATTTGTAAACCGCTTTGAGACTCCGATGTGCAGTGAAAAGGCGGTATATAAATAAAGATTACTACTACATTCTCTTCTCTTTGTGCAGGTACGAATCCCCGGAGATCGCCCTGAACTGTGGCATCATGCTGCGGGAGTGCATCCGACACGAACCTTTGGCCAAAATCACTCTGGAGTCAGACCAGTTCTACGACTTCTTCAGATACGTGGAGATGTCTACGTTTGACATCGCCTCGGACGCCTTTGCCACCTTCAAAGTACGTCCCGCGTCAGCAGGAAGTACAACAACGTTTTGAAATATTTTGATAGTTTTTGATTTAAACATTTGGATTTATGTTTGTGGATAGTTAATTATCCAAAGCATTTCCTGTTGCTGCTGTTAAAAAACAAAACCATGAGAAATCGTTTGCTTTAAAGGAGACATGTGTCAGATACTTATTTCCACACCAAAAACAGATCTGGAATTAAATCCTCCTGTTCCAACATCAGGAACACTCATAGACTTAAGATGATAAAAATCTAAAGTTATGACATGTTTTGATATTTATTACTGCATCTAGATGTTCTCGTGTGACTCTGATTGAACACCGAGGTCACAGAACATTTTATTTACATTTGGACTAAATAAGGAAAGATTATGTAGTATTTCTATATTTTTCTAATCGAGTGAATCTGTTTTTTTCAGGATCTTCTCACGAGACACAAAATGCTGAGTGCGAAGTTCCTAGAAAAGAATTATGAGAAAGTAAGTTACACTGTTGCAAACATCTAACAATATCAGACTTATACATTTTAAACAAACATCTAAGAATATCAGACTTATACATTTTAAATCAACATGGGGAAGAATAAGTCATTTGTACCATATCCAGCTACTCTCCAGCAGGTGGATTGCATCAGTAATTATGCTTCAAAGTACATACTGACACAGACCATAGGTGAGGGAGAGATCGGAGGTGAGGGAGAGATCGGAGGTGAGGGAGAGATCGGAGGTGAGGTGAGGGAGAGATCGGAGGTGAGGTGAGGGAGAGATCGGAGGTGAGGTGAGGGAGAGATCGGAGGTGAGGTGAGGGAGAGATCGGAGGTGAGGTGAGGGAGAGATCGGAGGTGAGGTGAGGGAGAGATCGGAGGTGAGGGAGACACAGACCAGAGGTGAGAGACCATAGTTAATATATATTTTCCACGTGGTGCGTGCGACCACAGAATGTTTTTCTTCTTCTCTTGTTTTGCTTTTTCTCCTGGTACAAAGTGTGTGGGATCTGTTTGTTTCATTCCATGGTGTCACACATGGTCTCATTATCATACCACACCATACCATATCAGCTTTATTTATAAAGCACTTTAAAAACTTTACAGTTCAGCCAAAGTGCTGTACACAAAAACAAACACAATGACTAAAAAATACATATATAAAACAATATTACCTAAAATCAAACATTATCAAAAGCACATGAAAAAAAGATGAGTTTTAAGAAGTGACTTAAAAACAGGCATAGACTGAGCCTGTCTTATCTCAATGGGTAGCTGATTCCAAAGACGTGGACCTGCGACAGAAAAAGCTTGGTCACCACGAAGCTTACGCATTATCGACAGAGACAGCAGCAGCGTCATGGTCCATCTCACACTGGTCTCATCGTGGTCCTGAATAGTTCAAAGGATTGACTCAGATTTTTATCAAATTTACAAAACCCTCTCGAATATTAAGTTTAGGTTCCAGTTTTTACAGAAATTGGAGAATTGACCCCAAACATCAAGTAACTGAGATTTCTATCAAGATTAAGAAGTTCTTTATTGATCGCACAAAGGAGAAATCTGGATTGATGATTAGTCACACATCACATCACATCAAGGCAAGCAGTGAACACTACATCCACGCTCCTTACATGCAAAGTGGGGTAAAGTGTCTTGCCCAAGGACACGACGACAGCAGACAGCACTGGAGGTTGTTGAAGGTCTCGTGGTGGACTCGAACCCTCAACCTTCATGCTTAAAGGCCTATGCTCTACCGACTGAGCCACTCAATGTTTCATGTGAATCAGTGAAAAGGTGGATCCCTGAAACGATCAGTGAGAAAAAGAGGATAAACGGAAATAAAGAAAAGGGGAAAAAATAATGATAAAGAATAATGTTGGTTTATGGAAACACTTTCTATACAGCGACCTGGCTTCACACAAATGAATCTCAATCAGATTTGATTCTTTTCTGGTTTTCAAATTGTCCTCGTGTTAAAATGTTATTGGTTGTTTTCTGTATAAACTCTACAGAAATACGTTCTGGTTTTTCTTTGGTCCATTAGTAGATTTCTAAGTAGTTTTACTAAAACAAAATGTAAAGTTTCTCCGTAAATATTTGTATAATTAGAATATTATTTGTATGGCACGTTTCAAACCTGATCTGGTACAGACACATTATTTCTAATCAAAGTAAGTCAGTTTTTTAAATTAAACTTCACTTTGTCGTCTGGAAAGTGCTTTGTAAATCCATGTTTTTGACGACGATCATAAATTATACATTTATACATCTTCACACACATTTAAAACCTAAACTTGTTGTTTCATTTTTTATTCATGTATGAACCGTGTATAGTTTAGTCCTGGACACGAGGCAGCAACAGTTCCACACCATGATCTACAGTTACAGATGATGACAATGTCAATCAGCACGTCTCAAGTGGATTCATTCATTCATTCATTCATTCATTCGTTTATTTCTCGTTATTTCTTCTCAACACAAGCTTTTCCATCTCGTCTCATATTTTTGTTTTTTGTTCCAGTTTTTCAGAGAGTACGAGAAGCTACTTCTGTCTGAAAACTACGTGACCAAGAGACAGTCCCTGAAGGTAAGAACAGAGAAACATCTACTTTAAGTCTCAGTGGCCCCGTCCCAATACTCGCACTTCCACCCTCGCGCCCCTCATTTGCGCGTTCCCGATAAAGGGTGCGAGTGCGTAGGGTGTCCCAATTCTCCAGGGAGGTCTTTGGCCCCGCCCCCTTTGCGCCCCTGATCCACACTTCGCCGTAGCCTGCATCTATGCGCACTCTGGCGAAGGATATTGCCCATAATTCTTTGCGGTACACACCAAAACGTCGGGAAAATGCATTTAAATATAAATTTTGAAATATATATGCAGTATGTGTGTAAATAAGTTTTGCTATGTTACTTGGAAAGAAGCATAAACGTTTGAAGAATTACGGACATTGTGTTTTAACAATTTAATAACTTTTTAAAGCAAGCATTCATATAACATTCAATTTAAACTTTACACTTAGTACAATAATCTTAGAATGTATAAAAACTGACCAGATAGTTAGTTACCCACATTTAACTTAAAATTATACAGCTATCTCTAATTAAAAACAACTAATATACATGTATTTTAACGTGTGTGAAGCAATTCATTTTGTTTCCCAAAGGGTCAGACAAAGTTACCTTTAATTTTTATACAGTTTAGGTCTGAAAATGACCATCTCTTGACGAGTCGATGACGTAGCCTGCACTCAGTGTGCACTGTCCCAATTCCGCCTTTTTTGCACACTTGTAACCTGCGCACTCCAACCCTGGTGTGCACTTCGAACAAATGCACACTTCGAAGAGGTGTGTAGGGTGCAGTGTGAGTATTGGGACTGGGCCAGTGAGGATTGTGTTGCACTGTACCGTGAGCGCCCTCCCGTGGCCACGGCGGTACTACAACCATGACTCATAACTCTGCTTTGATGTAATGGCACTAAATGATGATAAAATTACGACCTCAGATCAGACGAGACTACCCGCTGAATTCTGGTGCACACCGGGGTAGTCTTGCACAGTTTTTCCTATGTGGTTTTACTGCAAATGGCAAATAAATGAATCTGAATCTGAATCTGAAATGATACACAAGTTATGTTTATGGCACCACAATCTTTCTACTTGTTCTAATACACAGCAGATCAAAAGCATCAAAAACTACTTTCTTATTGCCCTGTCTTTTTAACGGTTTTATGCATATTAATCAAATTTAATACAAGTTTTAGTACTGATTTACTTTGAGATTCCCACGTGTGAGACATATTTAGACAGTTTTGACCAAGGTCGATGATTTTCAGTTCTGCACAATACAACATAAAAATCATAATTATAATTTGAAGGTCTGTCATGACACATTTGGACAAAATATTACCTCAGAAAAAAAGTCTTAGCTGTAAATGCTTCACTGTTGATATCTCTGTATCTAAATGTAAATAGTGTAAAGTTATTCACATACAGGGATCATGAGCAGATAAAGTACATCTCGGACTGAAAAGGCCCAGTGCAGCTGCAGAGTTAATTCCACCGAAGTTTTCAGGTAAAGCTCGGAGTCACTGGAGGAAATGGGTGTGGCCTGCTCCTGCTTGGTTGGAATGAAAACCTGCACCGGCCCCTTTAAGGACCGGTATGACCCTTGGCCTGTGTGACCCTGGTCCATCCGGTCTGACCCCGGTCCGGTCTGACCCGGTCTGACCCTGGTCCTGTGTGTGTGCAGTTACTGGGAGAGCTGCTCCTGGACCGACATAACTTCAGCATCATGACGATCTACATCAGTAAATCTGAAAACCTCAAACTCATGATGAACCTGCTGCGAGTCAAGAGCCGCAACATCCAGTTCGAGGCTTTCCACGTGTTTAAGGTACGCCGCCACGTTTAAGGTACGCCGCCACGTTTGGCATGTTCTAGGCATGCTTTACACATGTTTTAGGCATGTTTGAGACATGTTTTATATAATGGTTAGATTTAGATTTATTTCAATTAAATTCAATTTATTCTTGTATTGCCCTAAATCCCAACAGTATTTTCTCTTATCCAAAGCTCTGTGCGGGGAGGGGCGAGTTCATCGTTCTCGTTCGAAAATTTCTCAAAGTCAGTTAGTGCAGCTTTAAGCCATGGTGTAAATTGGTTAAAGAAATAACTCTGGTTAAGATGCACTTTTTACTTTTTTTCTGACCATTGTTTTTATGCAATTTTTTTTTTTTAGATCCTGCTAAAAGTTTTTTAGATCCTTTTAAAGGTCCTATATTACGCTTTTCTTCATGTTTCACAGTCAATGCTATACACCATCCATCCATCCATCCATTTTCTTCCATTTCTGGGTCTGGGGTGGCAGTCAGAGCTGCACCCAGTACACAGAGCACCAGCCCCTCACTGATCCTCCTGCAAGTGCTGAGTCCACAGGAGCCTTAATCTTCCAGCGGGGGCTTCAGGCAAAGTGGGGTTAAGTGTCTTGCCCATCGACACAACGACAGCAGACATCAGTGAGAGTCGTGAAGTAGGTCTTTAAGGCCGATGCTCTACCAACTGAGCTACTGTCGCCCCTATCCTATTCCTAATGTGATGCACCACACAACACTTGTGAGATTATATCCATCTCTTATATAGAGGTGACGTCACCTCAACTCAAACAGGCTGATCCAGAGAACAGTCTGCTTCTCTGTCCGTGAGCCCGCCTACCCCCCGCCCACCCGCCCGCACGGTGACATAGTATCACACTCTGAGTTGTTTATCACCAGTACTCAGTCATTTCAGAAATAATAATAAACTTTTTCCAACGATGACAATCCGTCACATCGAGCCCTATGTCCTCGATGCACAATCAGACCCTAATTATTTAGTTTACAGAAGTATACGGCAAGTTAGCATCACTGTACTTACAGATCGGGGGTCTGTGTTACGTCTTTTATCGTGGGAATAACACATGTTTCTAGATCAGTTTTTGAGTAAGTCCAGTTCCATTGTCCCTGTAGTTCTGGAACAGTCTCAGTGAAGTGTCACAGATGAACCGGTATTATAATAGATCCATGAGATGAACACATGAAAAAAGTCGAGCTGCTTTCTTCTTCTTCGGGCCAAATAGAGCGTCACATATATAACCCAAAACACATGTTATCCAAGTTGATGTGATCTTAACACTTTTAGTCGCTGACAAAACCAGAAAAACAGCAGCTCTGTGTGGTGTGCACGGGACCAAACCACATACGCTGGACTCTGGAGCCGGACTCGGGAACTGGCTGCGCGCTCTGATTCACTGTTTAGATTTGTTAATCATCTCCGGCTTTTACTATTATTAAGATAAGATAAGAGTTCCTTTATTCGTCCCACAGTGGGGAAATTTCGATGTTGCAGCGCACAGACAGGACAGTAGGAAGAGCACACAGGGAGCACACAAAATATACAAAAAAGTAGTAGCTATATTACTTAATGCTGTAAATGCTTCGATATCAGTCTTTCAAAATAAAATATATATATGGTAGTCCAGAGTTATATACTGTACATATAGTGCAGGATAAGAAGTAGATAAAGTAAAGTGACATTGTTAAGTGACATTCTGAAGGAGCAGTATTGCACATTGCACATGATTTAGTATTTACTTATTTGCAGACTCAGCAGTTTCTTATTCTTATTTTTATTATTTTTGACAACAAACTGCATACTTATTGTGTTTTGTTTACCCCGTTTTGACGACAGTATTTAAAATCCATTTTAAATACAAAGCAAACGGGCGTATGGGCGTCATATTGGTCATCAGAGCGGTAATCGTCACTGAAGTGGACCCGAGCGTTTCGCTGCCTCTCGAGGCTGAAGGAGAAAGATCGCTGTCTAACTAAAGATTGACAGAATCAATGAATAAACTACTTTGGGCATGTGTATGAGGCTAAATAGCACTGTAATAGTAGCGTACTATGGGCCCTTTAAAGAGCCTAATTTAAAACATGAACTTCAAGAGAGGTCCAATTGCTGCATATTTATAAAATTGTTTATAGTTTTGTGACCATTTCTTTACAGTTTGATTCTGTGATCTGCGTTGGAGATTTCAACAGTTTTGATTAGTCTCTGAGAAACTACTGTTGGGATTTAGGGGGCGATACAAGAATACACTGAATTGAATTAATTTCCAATAAACGTGACCACTTCCATTGCAATAAGCAGTTTGCGCACCACTAGGGGGAGTAACAGGCCTCCGTATGAATAGGCACCATGTAACTGTGTTTGTCTCAGGTGTTCGTGGCCAACCCCAACAAGACGCAGCCGATCCTGGACATCCTGCTCAAGAACCAGACCAAGCTCATTGAGTTCCTGTCCAAATTCCAGAACGACCGAACGGAAGACGAGCAGTTCAACGATGAAAAGACTTATCTCATCAAACAGATCCGGGAACTGAAGCGGGCCCCTCCCCAAGAAACTTAAGACCGGATCCCAAAGCTCGGACCAGGGCGGCCTCCACGGACCCTAAAGCAGAGGCTCGGTCCGTCTTTGGACTCCAGACTTTATCGCCACAAAAACTACGAATCCACCGCTCGGATCTCGCCAGCTCCACCTCTCCACGCCGGATAGTAATTTTTATGATTTCCTTCAGAAAACAGATGCTGCTTTCTTCGCCGCTGCAGAGTCCGGTGGTCGAACCAAACTAAACAAAGGGCAAGAGGTTTTTGCGATCTTTTAAAAAATGGTAGAACTAAGTTTACGTTTCTCTACATCCAGCACTGTGTCCAATGTCTTTATCTTTAAAAAGAGTCTGCGAACGAATCAAAAACTGCAAAATAGACAGAAATGATGTTGAATCGACTTTGGGTTTATTACATCTTTACATTGGTGTCTTAAAGGTGAGGTCCGTAACTACAAATGTATGTATTATTTAAAAAGAATGCATACTTTGACCACTTGGGGCTCTGTACAGCGAAAAGTCATTTTAAATAAATAACATGTTTAAAATAGTCCCGCCCCTTGGCTTATTCCCACCAGTAAGATTTTCTGGAGGAGAATAGTTCAGCCAATGAGGAGGGCTCACCAGTCAAGTTTGAATTTTGTTCGGCCAATCAGGAAGCAAGTTATGTCTAACTGGTTCTTTATATTCAAGAATTCTTTAAAAGTAACATTAAATCAGTTTTAAAGCCATGTTTACAAGCTGCTTTTGTAAAAATGGAACGTCTAAAAACACGATTCAAAGTTATAAAGTATGATTTAAAGTAAAGTATCGGGGAAAGATGAAGCTGAAACTGGTGAATGTTGTAGGATGATGTTGAAAAAGATCCAATGCCTCTGAAGAGATTACTTTAAACCTTTACAAAACAATATTTAAAGTTTACGAAATGTGCACAGTATTACAAACAATTGACATGATGTTGGCTGTTATAATAATAATAATGTCTCTAATACCACCGCTCCAAACAAACAAGCCCATTAACGACATCGTCTTGTTATAAATTTGTTTCTAGATGATTCTTGGAAAACTCGTGTGAAAGAAAGAACGTGTCCGTTTGTGAACCATTGAGTCGTAAAACTTGGTTAAAATCACTTGTTGATTATATTCCACAGTATGGAATTACACCTGTCCGTTACCGTGGCGATGGGCAGATGCTAACGTTGCTAGGTTACGTTTCTGAATCAAGGTTTGTTGGTGTTGATGACAGCTTCTCAGAGGAGAAACTAGAATGAATAAAGCTCTGGTACCTGACTTTAAAACCACGGACAATAGACCCATCTCGCTCTCGTCCCTCGCGCTCAAAGGTCTGTCGTTTTGGCCTCTGTCGCAGCTTTAGGTTGGCTTTTTTTCAGACGGAAAAGTATAAAAATAATATAGGATCCAATCAGCTCTGCTCAAAGTGTCTGCATGGAGTGGTTATGTAATCAAAAAGTTAGGTACCCGTGCTTTAAACGCCATGCTGTTAGGTTTCCATGGTAACTATAGCAACTGTGACACAATACACCAAAGTTTAAAGGGGACGTAACGTGCTGAATCTACTTCTCTCAGCTTTAGTCGTTTGATTTGGTTGAGTGGCACAGTCATTTTGGCTCGGATGGGCAAAAAAAATCCACTGATTGCTAATTTAATGTGGTCTGAGCAAACCCTGCGTGATTTTTTTTTTTTATGTGACCATGTTTCTGCTGAACATCTTTTGAACTCTATTGTTGTGATTTTCAAATGACCAAATGTACAAGAAACCGTCGTCAGAGATTCTAATTTTGTATTAGACCAAAGCTTGTCTTCTTTAAAAACACTTGGATTTTTGTTTAAATTGGATCTAAATTGACCTAAAAACTTGACGAGTCTAAACTATGAAATCTATTTCATAACTGAACAAAACCTGGAATGATCTGTTCGAACCGATTATTATATTTATCAATTATTATTTTTGATTTGGTTTTAGTTTAATGAGAAAATATGAAGCATTTTTGTGTTTGTTTTGTCCCTGAAACTTAAGTTTGTATCGTCTCGTTTCCATATGAATAATGGGTCTTCAGTAATGAAACGGCTCCATCTAGTGGTGAAGTAGGGACTTGCATTGTGTCAGTTTCACACTTCTCTACAGCGTTGGGAAAAATCATACTTTGACCAGAGTAAAATCTTAAACAAATTGAAAAAGCAGTACTTTAGTTTCAAGTAGCAGATTCAGGTTCAGTTCATTTAGACAAAACTGTTTTTGATCCAATTTCTGCCAGAACGTCTCTGTGTCAGCCTGAGTAGAGCTAAAAACAACTCCTGGTCGATGATGCCTAAACATGTGTCCTTTTTAAAACAATGAAAAACATTTTCTCTTCATCACAAAAATACATGTTTTTAACTTTAGTGGAATTGACAAAAGCCTCGAATTTCTCCAAAACACAAATGAAAATGGATGGATTTCTCTTTTCTTTTCCTTTCGCTGTGTTTGACTCTTGAATGCTGCGGATGACGTTGTGATTTTGGGTTAAAGTCTTTTACAGCCTTTATTTTGCTTTTTAGAATGTTTTACAGAATTATTATGACGTCAAATACTACTTCTGTTTTGGTTCTTTTTTTACAGCTGCAGAGACGAGGGTTTCATGGATGTTCCAGACTCTGCTGTAGGTTTCCTCTTGTACATAACGTAGAGAACTTTAGGATATTAACAATTGTACAGCGAAGGAATGTCATTTACTCTGAATCGGTTCATCCTGATTTTATTCTCAATTTTGATTTATGTTATATTCTGTTGGTGAAAACGGGACTTGGGATTTTAGCATTAACTGAACTATCGCCGTCTGGAGGTTCTCGAGGTGTGACTTTATACTCTCAGAACGCCACAGCGACGCCATAGCAACCGGCGATTTTGTTTCCCTCCTTCTCATAATTAAAGCTTCGGAAGGGTTTTGTAATTCCAGTACAATTTACAAGTGCAAAGCATTGTGGGTAGCTTCATTGGGCATGACTACACCATAATACATCCATGCTACACACTGGTCTGAATACACGCACTCTGTATACACTGCAAAAAATGATAAAATATGAACTCATAAACTGCTAGAATCGAGGGTTTTTGTTCAAATTAAGATATATTTAACCACATTTCAGTAGTTTGGCTTGTTTTTGATCCTTGTTGCAGTGTTTCGGTCGTAGCAGTCGTGGCGTTTCTACTCATGCAGCCGCAGGTGCCCTTCAGACTCGCATGCTCCTCCGGTGGCTGCATGAAGCTGCACTGAGCCTTGTACTGGAATTGTTTATTTTTGACCCAAGTTTCGAATGAATTGAAATGACTGATGTTTAACCATGTGGCCTGAGGCAGGCAGGGCTCCGGCTCGGGGGGGCTCGGGCCCTACCATGAACATAAATAAAAAACCTTTGGATAAACAAGAGTTTTTCATGTTTGTGAAACTAAAGCAGTTTGATTTCTGACCTCGTAAACCGTAAAACAATCTTTAAATTGTAAAACTCTTTTCTACACGAGCCAAAAACAAACTATATTCAATCATTTGTTTTAAGAACACATCAGGGATTTTATAAAATCTTCAAACCTAAAGTGAAGTGTGAACTTGGGCTCAAAACAACATTGAACTGATGTTTGTTTTGTTCTGAAGCGAAAGACAAAAAAAAAACTAAAGTGTGAGACGTGTTCTTAAAGAAGTTTATGGTCCTCTATGGGTCCTCTACAGTCTATTGTCCTCTGTCGCCTCCACAGCGCCCCTTATCGCGCAGTGGGCGGGTCCTTTGGAGGCAAAAAAAAAAAAAGAGCGCACACTTCCGGTGTGAAAGACAAAAACAGAGAGAGGGCAGAAGCTTTAACATCACTCTAACATAACATCCTGACGCAGAGACTGCGCCACAGACTGGACCATGGTGAAGATCAGCTTCCAGACTGTTCTGGGACAGAAGGAAGATGTCGACAAGACAGAGATCCTCATCCCCCACCCAGAGGTGAGTACTGCTGCTTCAATGACACTTATGTACCGATGGTACCGATGGTGCTGTTCTGATGGTACTGATAATACTGATGCCGTGGCTCCGGGGCCCGTGCACCTGCACAGCCGCAGCCTCAGAACCATTTGGCTCCAAACAAAACCATGTCCGAGGCTCCTTCTCAATGACACTTGACTTTGATAATGAGGAGAATGTGCAAATGACATTTCTCCTCATTATCAAAGTCATTTGCACATTCTCCTCATGCAACGCACGTGAAAGTCATGTTTGCTGTTGAAGCTGCAAAATGGCACAGGTCCTACAGGGTTAGTCTGGTTCAGTCTGATTCAGAGACAAAGAAGACGACTTAATAGTTACCTATGTAACTTAAGTTCTACGAATAGGTGCGTAGTCCCTTAGGACTTCGCTAGTAGGATATCACGTAACCCCCAGGTCACACGCCAGAGAGATCAAATATATATAAATATGCTCCAATCACTAGCGACCCTCCTCTATAAAAGCCCCTGCACAAGGCCGCACCCCCTCTTGAACTTTGCCAAGCCGGGCTGGCCTGATGGGCTCGTAGCTAAGGGACTACGCACCTATTCGTAGACCTTAAGTTACATAAGTAACTATTAATTCTACGTCACGGTGCTACGTCCCTTGACTTTGCTAGTGAGACACAACGCGGAGGCCGTAGGAACATGTACTCCCAGCAGGCCAGCGAAGAGTGATTGGAGCCCCGCCCGAGCAAGACTCTCACACAGTGAGAAGACTCAGGGCAGAAGAAAACCAATAGCGTGTTACGGGGCCGCTCCTCCCAAGGACACCCCCAAGTAACACCGACCGAAAGTCACCCATAGTCCCAGGAGGCCTCTCCCACGAGCTCCTGACGTGGACTACCTAACTGACCGAGAAAGCACACACACACCGCACCTGCAGGACTCCTCTCCCAAGAGCTCCTGAACCAGGGCGGACAAAACCAAACCGTAGCCCCCCTCAGATGAGGCCACCGACCGGTCCGACACATCCAAAAGGTAAGACCGGACGAAGCCCAAGAAGCCGCACGGCACACGTCCTCGACCGAAGCCCTCCTGAGGAGGGCCGTAGAGGCCGCCACCCCATGCGTGGAGTGCGACCTGAAACCCACCGGGGGGGCCAGGCCCTGAGCCTGATACGCCCGCCGTACAGCCGTGGCGACCCAGTGCGCCAGCCGCTGAGACAACAGCGCTGAGAGTGTGCTGCCCGCACGCCCCGGAATGGCGGTGACCTTCGGGAGAATTGCAATGCGTAGCCCCTGCGCATGGTCTTCTCTAGCCACGGATCCGACAGTAAGCCCTGCTCCCTCCAGATGCTGTAGAAGTCTGTGAGGGGTGGAACTGGAACACGAGACGTCACAGCCCCGCCCTCTCCTGGTGTTCCTAGCAGGGAGGGGGGGTGAACGAAAGGGCAGAGGGGCCCCCCTGCGTCATTCCGTGTGCGCCGGGGGCGGTCATGTGTCCTGCAGGCCCAACGTCATAAGTCCGGGCCTGCTCATGCCCTGTGACTTGACTGCTCCGCCCCCCTCATGGAGGGGGGCTCTTGCCTCATGGAGGGGGGGCGAGCCCCTGGAGTGGGAAACCCCGTGCTTAGCCTCGTAGCTTAGAGGAGCTAACGCGTGTTCGGCCGAAGCACACACAACACTACTCACCAGATCCCTCCGCTTGACCCTTCTCTCGGAGGGCATAGCATGGATCAGTGGACCGGAGCACCGGAGCTCGTAGCACAATGCACACCCTGCTCTGGGGGCTGCAGGCCTAGCAGGGCAACGTTATGGGCTCGAGAAGTAACACAAGCAGACACATTACACATGTTACGTACCCCCAAATGAGACTCAGACAACGATTACTGATGAAATGCTGGACGGCCTTTATTAGCAAAAGTTATGCCACCCCGGCCTCCTCTACTGTAGGGAGGCCGGCGGTTGGTGCGCTGCTCCCTCGGGCCTCCCGTGGGTCTGTCCGGACCCAGGGGTCTCGTCGAGCGCTCTCTGCCTCTGTCCAGGCTCCGTGCAACTTGGTGGGCCTCGGAGCTAGGTGCGGTGCTAGCCTAGCAGAGTCCTTGGCCGCAGACTCCAGTCTGTCCACCAGGGCCTGCATGTCAGGGCCGAAGAGGGACGTCTGGGCCGCCGCGGAGGAGTAGAGACTGGGCATGTGATCCAGTGGGAACCGGGTCTCTCTGGAGTTCTCCGGGCGCTGGAGCACCAGAGAACGCACGCCTGCGCTCACTTTCCTCTCAGGGGAGAGCGAGACACGAGGCGCAGCTAGCGCTCTCCGCCGCATGGCCCGAGCCCAGGCACAAGAAACAGCGTGAATGCTGGTCCGTGCGCGGGAGCCTGACCCGACACTCCAAGCAACGACGACGTCCGACGCCGGAGGGCGAAGGGGAAATCAGACGAGCAGTCGAGGCAGACATTTCAGCAGACAAAGTAGATGTAGTAGATGTAAGTATGATCTCAATCGGTGCCAGAGTGAAAGAGGGGGCAGGGGCTTTTATAGAGGAGGGTCGCTAGTGATTGGAGCATATTTATATATATTTGATCTCTCTGGCATGTGACCTGGGGGTCACGTTATATCCCACTAGCGAAGTCCTAAGGGACGTAGCACCATGACGTAGAACCTGTCCAGACTGTGCCAGACTGTGTGACTGAAGCTGCTCAGAGACGTGTGACACCTCAGCTTCGAAGAACTAAGAGTTTAACACTTTCACAGTTTCTCCAGAGACATGTCCCCACGACTTAGTCTCAGGTCTGAGTCTCGGTCTCAGGTCTGAGACTTTTAGACCTGAGACCGGAGGACAGGGACCGAGACTTACCCCCGTGGCTCAGATCTCTCTCCTCTCTCTCCTCTTCTTCTCCTCCAGTATTTACTACAGAGGAAGTGTAGTGGATGCACAGATGGAGTGAGAGACTGGAGGCGTAGATGACTCATGGTCTCAGTTTCTCTTCCTCCGTCTCTGAACAAAAGGAACAAATGTAGAAAAGTAGAAAAAGTGTAGTTTATTAAGTTGTTCAGAGGAAGTGTTGTAAGTGTTTACTTCCTGTTGCAAATATCCTTGTTCCTCAAACTGCTCTCACAGTCTTGTTGCTATCGTGTTGTTGTGTTGCTCTTGTGTTGTTGTTGTTGTGTTATTATTGTTGTTGTGGTGTTGTGTTGTCGTGTTGTTGTGGTGTTTTGTGTTTAAAGAACGTTTGGTTCTTAGTTTTGATCATTTTGCACTGAACAGTTTGAAACAAAGTCAAACTGAAAACAGTTTAAACTCTTGTCGCTTCAATAAAAGCTCTTATGAAGCTGAGAGTCTGTAGTTTTGGCCTCTGAGGATCTATTTACTCAAACAAAAGGTGGAAACAAGTTTCCCTGAACGATCCATAGTCCTGAATATGAAGGTGTAGATGGTGTCTGGATAGGACCAGGTGGTGTCTGGATAGGACCAGGTGGGGCTGAGTGGTTAGCTCTTAACAGGGGTTCGAGTCCCCAGAAAATAGATGTTTAGATTTATATTGATTTTTAGAAACTAGATTTTTAAACATATTAAATATTATAGATGATTTAATACAGATTATTTTTTTCAGATTATTTTCTGATTCAAAAATAAATAAATATAATATGAATTAATACGGATTTGGTTTTTATAGTATTTTTATTTTACTGACAATTCATCGTCAACACAGAGAGAGTGGTGCTTTTCTATCTAAGGGACTCTTTTCCCTGAGTTTGATCTGTTACAAATATATGAAATATATTAAATATGTGACATTTGTGTGTCTGTTTTTAATAAGTTTAAAAACACAAAGATGAGTTTATTTATCTGTTTAACACGTTCTCCACTTCCTCCAAACCTTCTGTTCTGTCTCAGGAGGAAGAGGAGCTGGTGCTTCCTCTTCGGCCCACAGCGCCTCCTGTGACCGGGCTCTGCTGCCTGACCTTTGGCCTCATGGTCTTCATGGGGGGTCTGGTCCTGGCCTCGGTCTACGTTTATCGATACTACTTTATTCCTCACGTAAGAAACTTTATTGATACTACTTTATTCCTCATGTAAGAAACTTTATTGATACTACTTTATTCAGACGTAAGAATCTGTCGTTTCAACTCGAATCAAAAAGACCCAGATCGAGGTTCAGAGATTCTTCACATGTCTCAGAAGTTTCAGTGTTGCAGGTCACAGGACTGTACAAGGAACACACACCACACCATACATGAATTTAAAAAAAATCTAAATAAAACTCTTATCATTCGCTAAAGGAAAGTGTCTTTCCTGTGTTTGAGCTGATTTTCTGATCTGTGTTGGTGAATCAACAACTTGGTGAGGTCTGTGACGACTGTTGTAGGGATTTAGGGCGAAACCCAAATAATTGAATTAAATAAAAAGTAGAAGCAACTGCACTTCTATGGAGGACCGTGGCTGCCAAAACAATAAATATATACAGAATAAATAAATATATAATTTTAAAAAAAATAAAATTTGCAAAGAAATGCATGCAATTATGAGAATAAGTGCATTTATATCTTTATACATTTCTTTATATATTTATTTCTGTATTTATTTATTTTTGTATTTATTCATACATTTATTTCTGCATTTATACATTTATTTCTCTATTTCTGTATTTCTCAATTTCTCTTTATTTCTTTCTCTATTTCTTTCTCTATTTATTTTTTCTCTCTATTTATTTATTTCTGTATTTCCGTATTTCGGTCATGTTGAGATCACTGTGTTCTCGCTATAGCCATGTCAGAACGAAAAAAATAACTGTTTTGTCCGGCTCGTAAGAATAAATAAATGCAGAAATGAATACAGAAAGAAATGCACTTATTCTCATAATTGCATGCATTTCTTTGCAAATTTTATCTTTTTTAAATGTATTTATTTATTTCTGTATATATTGTTTTGGTAGCCACGGTCCTCCATACACTTCACCTCCTTAGATCTAAGTTCATCATAAACTTCTGCATCTTTCTTCTTCACCGAGAACTTCCTGTTTCGTGAGAGTTTCAGGAAGAGGCTGAAACCATCAACCTTTTTTTCTTCTGTGACTTTGAAAGAAACAAGCCTCTTCAGTTCTGGAGGATTTGGTTTCATTAAAACAAATAATAAATAAATAAATACATTCACAAACCTGTCCTTGTTATTCTAAGTGTCCTTTCTTCTCCTCTCCTCCCCTCCCCTCCCCCTCCGCCTCCTCAGATGCCGGAGGAGAACCTGTTCCACTGCCGGGTCCTGTACGAGGACTCGGTGTTTGCTCCTCTTCGGGGGCGACAGGAGCTGGAGGAGAACGTTGGAATTTACCTCAGAGAAAATTATGAGGAGATCTCTGTCCCTGTGCCTCACTTTGGAGGCAGCGACCCGGCGGACATCATCCATGACTTCCACAGGGTCAGCACACACACACTCCATGACTTCCACAGGGTCAGGACGCACACACACTCCATGACTTCCACAGGGTCAGGACGCACACACTTTCCATGACTTCCACAGGGTCAGTACACACTGTACATACACACACACTCCATGACTTCCACAAGGTCAGTACACACTGTACATACACACACACTCCATGACTTCCACAAGGTCAGTACACACTGTACATACACACACACACTCCATGACTTCCACAGGGTCAGTACACACTGTACATACACACACACTCCATGACTTCCACAAGGTCAGTACACACTGTACATACACACACAATCCATGAATTCCAAAGGGTCAGGACACACTGTACATACACACACAATCCATGACTTCCACAGGGTCAGGACACACTGTACATACACACACAATCAATGACTTCCACAGGGTCACCCCAATCCCCCCCCCCCCCCCCCCCCCCCCTCCCTGACCCCCCCCCGACCCAGAAATGGATTAAGGGGAAGAAAATGGATGGATGGACATACAGTACCTTGCAAAAGTATTCGGCCCCCTTGAACCTTTCAACATTTCGCCACATTTAAGGCTTCAAACATAAAAAATATTAAACAAAATTTTTTTGTCAAGAATCAACAAGTGGGACACAATCGTGAAGTGGAACGCAATTTATTGGATAATTTAAACTTTTTTGACAAATAAAAAACTGAAGTGGGGCGTGCAATATTATTTGGCCCCCTTGCGCTAATACTTTGTAGCGCCACCTTTTGCTGCAATTACAGCTGCAAGTCGCTTAGGGTATGTCTATCAGTTTTGCACATCGAGAGACTTCGAATTCTTGCCCATTCTTCCTTGCAAAACAGCTCGGTTGGATGGAGAGCGTTTGTGAATAGCAGTCTTCAGCTCTTTCCACAGATTCTCGATTGGATTCAGGTCTGGACTTTGACTTGGCCATTCTAACACCTGGATACGTCTATTTGTGAACCATTCCATTGTAGATTTGGCTTTATGTTTTGGATCATTGTCCTGTTGGAAGATAAATCTCCGTCCCAGTCTCAGGTCTTTTGCAGACTCCAACCGGTTTTCTTCCAGAATGGTCCTGTATTTGGCTCCATCCATCTTCCCATAAATTTTAGCCATCTTCCCTGTCCCTGCTGAAGAAAAGCAGGCCCAAACCATGATGCTGCCACCACCATGTTTGACAGTGGGGATGGTGTGTTCAGGGTAGAGTTTCGTTCGGGCCTGAAAAATGAAGCCCGACCCGGCCTGAGCCCGCTAATGTTAAGCCCGAGCCCGTATAAGCCCGACCAATGAATAAGCCCGACCTGTATAACAGGTCCGAGCCCGACAGAACCCGATACATCGGATTTCCTTGTTGTGCGCACTCACCTTCCAATTGCAAGTTTAGTCTCCACTTTTGAATTTGTTTTGTCTCCACTTGATCCATTTCTACTATTGTTCCTGTTCGCTGTTGACCACAGCATGCAGCAGGAGACACGGGGATGATGCGTTCACGGCTCGCTGCTGCTGTAGGACACGCTGGTTACGGTGTCATTAATATATTAAATTTTTTTAATAACTTGTTGTCAATCAACGGACATTGTTATTAATATATATATATCATTATGTATAAAAATCATTTAAAATAATTATAATAATAAAAAAGAAACATATTTTTAAAAAAGAAGCCCGGCCCGAACCCGACAGCTGAGCGCCAAAATGAGGCCCGGGCCTCGGGCCTGCTCGGGCTCGGGCTGAAAAGCGAAACTCTAGTTCAGGATGATGAGCTGTGTTGCTTTTACGCCAAACATATCGTTTTAATGGCTTTCTTCTTGCCACTCTTCCATAAAGGCCAGATTTGTGCAGTGCACGACTGATTGTTGTTCTATGGACAGACTCTCCCACCTCAGCTGTAGTCTTCTGCAGTTCATCCAGAGTGATCATGGGCCTCTTTTCTGCATCTCTGATCAGTCTTCTCCTTGTTTGAGATGAAAGTTTGGAGGGACGGCCGGGTCTTGGTAGATTTGCAGTGGTCTGATACTCCTTCCATTTCAATATAATTGCTTGCACAGTGCTCCTTGAGATGTTTAAAGCTTGGGAAATAGCTTTTGTATCCAATTCCGGCTTTAAACTTCTCCACAACAGTATCTCGGACCATGGTTCTCTCTGCGCATTAAACAGAACCCTGAGACTATCAAAGAGCAGGTGCATTTATACGGAGACTTGATTACACACAGGTGCATTCTATTTATCAGTCATTTAGGACAACATCGGATCATTCAAAGATCCTCACTGAACTTCTGGAGTGAGTTTGCTGCACTGAAAGTAAAGGGGCCGAATAATATTCCACTGGGTCAGGACACACACAGATACACACACACATATACATATGTGTACACATACAAACATTTTAGCCTTACGTGTGTATTCTTCCAGTATATAAATGCATATTTGTAAGTTTTTCCTGTGTTGTATCGTCCCAGGGCCTGACGGCCTATCACGACATCGCTCTGGACAAGTGCTACGTCATCGAACTCAACACCACTATCGTCATGCCTCCAAGGAACCTCTGGGAACTTCTCATCAACGTCAAGGTAACACAACACACACACCGAGTATTGTGTGTCATTAAAGTGTGTTGTGCGTCCGCAGAAGGGCACGTACCTGCCTCAGACCTACATCATCCATGAGGAGATGGCGGTCTCCGGGAAAGTGCACAACATGCAACAGCTCGGTCCCTTCATCCACCGTCTGTGCAACGGCAAAGACACGTACCGCCTCAGCCGCATCACACACCGCCGTGAGTGCCCCTCTGCCCACGGGCACTTTACTGGGACAATATATATGTACTGACTTTAAATAGGGTCCAATAGTATCTACAGGGCACTTGACATACTCTACAGACCAAAAGTTTGGACACCTTCTCATTCAAAGAGTTGTTTATTTTCATGATTATGAAAACTGTAGATTGACACTGAGGGAATCAAATCTATGAATGAACTCATGTGAATTATGTACGTACTAAAAAAGTATGAACCAAGTGAAAATATGTGTTTTATTCTGGTTCTTCAAAGTAGCACCTTTAGCTCTGATTACCGCTTCACTCTTGGCATTCTCTTGATGAGCTTCAAGAGGACCTGAAATGGACAACAGTCTTGAAGGAGTTCACTCTGTGGTCCAGCCCCAAAACCATCTGGACTGGGTTCAGGTCCAAAACCATCTGGACTGGGTTCAGGTCCGGTGACTGGAGGTCATGTGGCCCAGCACCATCACTCTCCTTATTGGTCAAACAGCCCTTGCACAGCCTGGTGTGGATCTACAGCCAATAGTCATGGAAAGAACTCAGTGAAGGAGAGAGGGTGTCCAAACCTTTGCTCTGTACTGTATACTGACTTTATATAGGGTTCTAAAGTATCTACAGGATATACAGTGCCTTGCGAAAGTATTCGGCCCCCTTGAACCTTTACACATTTCGCCACATTTCAGGCTTCAAACATAAAGATATAAAATTTTAATTTTTTGTCATGAATCAACAACAAGTGGGACACAATCGTGAAGTGGAATGAAATTTGTTGGATAATTTAAACTTTTTTAACAAATAAAAAACTGAAAAGTGGGGCGTGCAATATTATTCGGCTCCTTTACTTTCAGTGCAGCAAACTCACTCCAGAAGTTCAGTGAGGATCTTTGAATGATCCAATGTTGTCCTAAATGACTGATGATGATAAATAGAATGCACCTGTGTGTAATCAAGTCTCCGTATAAATGCACCTGCTCTTTGATAGTCTCAGGGTTCTGTTTAAAGCACAGAGATAACCATGAAGACAAAGGAACACACCAGGCAGGTCCGAGATACTGTTGTGGAGAAGTTTAAAGCCGGATTTGGATACAAAAAGATTTCCCAAGCTTTAAACATCTCAAGGAGCACTGTGCAAGCAATTATATTGAAATGGAAGGAGTATCAGACCACTGCAAATCTACCAAGACCCGGCCGTCCCTCCAAACTTTCATCTCAAACAAGGAGAAGACTGATCAGAGATGCAGCCAAGAGGCCCATGATCACTCTGGATGAACTGCAGATAACTACAGCTGAGGTGGGGATGGTGTGTTCAGGGTGATGGGCTGTGTTGCTTTTACGCCAAACATATCGTTTTGCATTGTGGCCAAAAAGTTTGATTTTGGTTTCATCTGACCAGAGCACCTTCTTCCACATGTTTGGTGTGTCTCCCAGGTGGCTTGTGGCAAACTTTAAACCAGACTTTGTATGGAAATCTTTGAGAAATGGCTTTCTTCTTGCCACTCTTCCATAAAGGCCAGATTTGTGCAGTGCACGACTGATTGTTGTCCTATGGACAGACTCTCCCACCTCAGCTGTAGTTATCTGCAGTTCATTCAGAGCGATCATGGGCCTCTTGGCTGCATCTCTGATCAGTATATTATATATATACTGGCTTTATATAAGGTCCTAGAGTATATTTTCTTTGGCATTTTTGTGCTTGTCACATTTACTTTACACAACGTAAATTATTTATTTTCATTTTTGTTCTAGGCCTGAACAAGCGGGACACCCAGGACTGCCACCGCATCCGCCATTTTGAGAACACGTTTGTGGTGGAGACGGTCATCTGTGAAGAACCATAGAATCCAGACCCTACTGTCCTAACACCCACTTCCTGCGCCACTGTAGCACCCTCTAGTGGAACATGTCTGAGTTGCACTTTATGGATGTAGCGTTTATTATTATAATCTAGTTTTTTTGTTCATTTGCATAATAATTTCCATAATGATTTCCATGATGTAATGATTCCAAACATGAGGCAACAGCAGCCGGGACTGTCGCAGGTTTTTCCACGTAGCAAAGTCTAAAGATCCCGGGACCAGGTCTCTGAGGGACTGTTCCAGAGCGGCTCCGTCGTTTAGCTGGTTGTTGTTTTGAATGTTTTATTTCTCTGGAGGTTTCTCTGCTTCTCTCATTGCTCTCTGCAAAGCATGCTCCTCTGCTTAAGGCAATCAGGCCAGACTTATTTTATACATTTTGCATTTTATTATAATGTGGTAAAGTGGTCATCAAACTGTCAACATTTAATAGATCCATAATTATGCTAAATGCACTGCTTTTCAAAGATTCTGCCCCCACATTGTTTTACTTAACACCAAAAGTGTAAAATACTGTTTATTTTATGTACAGTAGTTTATGTATTCTATGGAAGGCAAGTTTATTTATTTAGCACAAGGCAACCCAAAGTGCAGAACTGAACAAGACAGACACCACAAGGCTTTAAAACAATAAATATTCACAATTAATTAAAAAGAATTAAGATCCAATCTCTCAGTTGTTTGCATCTAAACAGAACTGTTTTTAACCTGGTTTTAAACACTGTCGGAGAAGCCTGTCTCACATTTTCAGGAAGACTTTTTTTAGCTGGATGAAACTCTGCCTCTCCATGTTTATTATGGGACCATGTACAGACAGAGAATTCTCAATCTTCCTCATCTTTGCTTCGCTGTTGGACTTTTTAGACTTATCCAGATTTTAGCTCCGTTGGAAATGGACAAATCCAGATAAATGTAATCACTTCTGAACCAAGAAAAGTCCAAGATTTATACCAATGACGCAGAACTCAGCCACGACTAAACCTGGACTTAACCAAAACCTGCGTGAGGCAATGGACAAAGAGCCTAAAGCTCTAAAGGCTCATAGTAAAGACACAATAGAAAATATGTCTAAAATCTGTCTTTTGGGTCCTATCGCTGATATGTTGGGGATATATTTGGTCCTTCAGTATCTTACAGGGCAAAAAATACATATACTGGCTTTATATATGGTTCTTGAGTATATTTTCTTTGGCATGTCATGTTTTATAATAAGTAATATTATCTGAATAAAGAAGTAAACGGGAGAGAACTCATTAACTCAAAATGGCGAATGAAGAGTTTTTTTCTTGGGATTGACCAATTATCATTATCTTTGTCTTGTGTTTCTGTTTTAAATTGGACCAAGAGTCTGTGATGAAGTTGAATTAAAATCCGCCAGGTTGAGTTTATTGACCAAAATATTTTTGTATTAATTTACTAATCATTATCTAAGTGTTGCTCTAGTCCCGCCCCCTGACCAAAACAGTTATACAACTTGATCTAAACACAAAACATCCCTAAAGGGGCTGCGTACAAGTTGCACAGTTTGAGAACCACTTCTGCGTGGTTCTCAAACATACTGCTTTGCTTTTTACGTGACTTTTCTTCTTTTTTGATCTTTTGCATTGAGTTAAAACAGGGTGAATAATATTATGAAGCACATTTTGTATAAACGCTGGGAGGGAAATGTTTTTTTTAAAGGCACAGTCATCATTTTAAAAACAACAGACCTGGTTTATTGCATGTAGTTTATCCATTTGGGGAAGCATTAAGGATGTTTTTTGTATGTTTTGCTCAAGCCTTTTAGTCCTGCTCCGGGCTAACGTCATCGTCTGAAGTCATCTGTGAATAAAGTAGTACTAAAGGTTGTGTCTAAGAGTTTTTTGTGCCGGTTCCAAGCCTAAATAAATGCATGGATTTAGCTTCTGTAAACTGCAAACAATGAGAAAGTATGAGGAAATAATTTCCGAAGCTGCACGTTGCCAGATCTGCGTTTCTTAGATTGTTTTAATGATTTTTTTCTGGATAAGGTTCCCAAAACATATGACGCTCTTGAATATCTTTGGAGGATTCAAAGCAGATCTCATTCCGTTAATTGCCTCCCGGTGCTGGATGCAGAGAGTTAATCTGGATCAGATCAGACCATAGACTGTATATATTAATCAGACTAAAGCCCAACAGCTCAGACAGAGATCCTTCAGAAAAACAGATCTGGCAACGTGCGGCTCCAGCGTTGCCAGAGTTTCTGCCTAATCATGACATTAACAAAGTGCTCCAAAAGATTCAGAGATCCTTTATTTGTCCCCAGTCTATGGTCCCACAGCAAAGAAATGTCAGTGTTGCATCAGAAGTTATATTTGTCACTCAATAAACAAATCAAATATTCAACACAAATTAAAACAATTTCAACACCGATGAGAAAACCACTAATAATCCTCAAAAAGTTAGTTATGCTAACTGCAAGTAAACAGTGTTGCTATGGTAACTAGCACCGACTCCAGGCTGACATGATCTGAAGTTTGAATGATGCTCGACAGATATACAAAGTTCCTGGGTAACAGTTAAACTCAAAAGACGCTTCAAAGGATTCCATTTAAGGATTGTTCTCGATGCTGTGTGTTGCTATGGTGACCACTGAGGTGTTGCTGGTTGCAACCATGTGACCAAAAGGGGTGTGGCACAGCGTAGGACAGGTAGTATTTTTCTCTTTTTGCACACAGGAGCTTTTAGAGGCTTAATATCACTCTTATTTTGAGTGAAAACTATTTTCAACACAGCGTTCACCTTCTAGAGTTTGAATGAGTCAATTTTTTCAACAATAAATAACAAAAAATGCAGAATTATGCTCCGGGGTGGAGCTAGCGTTAAGCTAACAGCAGTAATCTAACGAACGCAGCCGTCCTGGGGGCACAGAGTTCGGATGCAACTTCAGACATTCCCCTGGACCTCACAGTCCCGGACCCTGGTCCTCACAGTCCCAGAGTCCCAGACCCTGGACCTCACAGTCCCAGACCCTGAACCTCACAGTCATGGAAATAACGATGAACAATGACTCTTGACGATGAACTCAATGACTAGATTATGTGTGAGAAGACTTAAATAGATTGTACATCCTGCTTTTAGCACATGTAGGCAAGGCAAGGCAAGGCAAGGCAAGGCAAGGCAAGTTTATTTGTATAGCACAATTCATACACAAGGCAACTCAAAGTGCTGAACAAGATAGCATTAAAATCATAAATAATCACAGAACATTAAAACGAAAGATAAAAATATAAAATCCCTCAGTTGTATGCACAGCTAAACAGCACCGTTTTTAACTTGGTTTTAAACATTGTCAGAGAGGAGGCCTGTCTCACATCTTCAGGAAGATTGTTCCAGATTTTAGCAGCATGAATCTGAAAAGCAGCCTCCCCATGTTTAGTTCTGACTCTGGGCACTAACAGGAGTCCAGTCCCTGTGCTCCTCAGAGTCCGGGCTGGTTCATATGGGACTAACATGTCACTAATATATTTTGGTGCGAGGCCATGGAGAGACTTGTACACAAGCAGAGCTGTTTTAAAATCTATTCTCTGAGCCACAGGAAGCAAGTGCAGAGACCTGAGGACTGGACTAATGTGGTCGTACTTCCTGGTTCTAGTCAGGACTCGAGCTGCTGCATTTTGAATGTACTGCAGCTGTTTTACAGCCTGTTTGGAGAGACCTGTGAGCAGGCCATTGCAGTAGTCTAACCTACTGGAGACAAATGCATGGATAAGAATCTCCAAGTCTGCTTTAGACACTATGTTTTTGATCCTGGCAATGTTTTTTAGATGGTAAAAAGCTGCTGATGTTACTGATTTGATGTGGCTATTAAAATTTAAGTCTGAGTCCAGTATTACCCCTAGATTTCTGACCTTGTTTGAAGGTTTTAGGGAGAGAGACTGTAGATGACAGATGACGCTCTCTCTTTGTTTCTGGGGACCAAAGACAATCATTTCAGTTTTGTCTGCGTTTAGCTGAAGGAAGTTGTTTTGCATCCACTCACTGATCTGTTGGATACAGTGAAGGAGTGAGTCCACTGGTCCATGTTCTCCTGCAGTCAGTGAGACATAGATCTGAGTGTCGTCTGCATAGTTGTGATAGGAAACTTTGTTTCTGCGTATTAACTGACCTAACGGCAGCATGTAGAGATTGAACAGAAGAGGTCCCAGGATCGACCCCTGTGGGACTCCACAGGTCAGGGCCATATGATCTGAGACACAGTTTCCAATCTCCACAAAGTACTTCCTGTCTTCAAGGTAAGACCTAAACCAATTTAGGGCGGTGCCAGCGACGCCAACCCAGTCCTCTAGTCTCTGTAAGAGGATCTCATGGTCGACAGTGTCAAAGGCAGCACTCAGATCTAACAGGATTAGGATTGAGACTTTGCCTGCGTCAGTGTTCAGCCGGATATCGTTTGTAACCTTGACGAGAGCAGTCTCAGTGCTGTGGTGGGGTCTAAAGCCGGACTGAAACATATCAAATGAGTTGTTGATTATAAGAAATCTAGTAAGCTGTAAGTAGACAATTTTTTCAAGGACTTTCCCATAAATGGCAGATTTGAGATGGGACGATAGTTGTTAAGTACCGTAGCATCCAGACTGCTCTTTTTTAGCAGGGGCCTGATGACTGCAGTTTTCAGGGCCTTTGGGAATACTCCAGAATGAAGGGACATGTTTACTATCTGTGTGAGTGAAGGTAACAGACTGCTCAGAACAGACTTTAGAAATCTAGTGGGTAGTACATCCAGGCTGCATGTGGAGGAGCTCAAACTGGAGATTATCTCTTGGACAGTTTGATCATTTACAGGTGCAAAGTAAGTTAGCTCAAAGAGCCTTTCTGGCTGTTGGATTGTTATCTGTGGATTGGAGACAATGGCGTTTTTGATGCCTTGAACCTTGTCATTGAAAAAATTAGCAAACTCATTGCATTTACGTTTGGAAGTAAGCTCTAATGGCATTTGAACAGGGGGGTTTGTTAATCTATTAACTGTTGAGAACAGAACACGCAGATTGTTGCTGCAGCCTTCAATCATTTCAGAAAAATACCTTTCTCTCGACGCGTTTGTCACCTCAAGGCTCGACTACTGTAACGCTTTACTGGGAGCGTGCCCTAAAGCCTCTTTGAAGAGCTTCCAGCTCGTTCAGAATACAGCAGCTAGGATCTTAACAGGTACCAAAAGGAGGGAGCACATAACTCCGGTGTTAAAATCACTCCACTGGCTCCCTGTGGAGTACAGAATAAAGTTTAAAATCCTACTCTTAACATATAAAGCCATAAATGGCTTGGCTCCTTCTTATCTCCAAGACACGTTAGTGTCGTATCAACCAGGTCGAGCGTTGCGCTCACAAAACGCCAGACGTCTGGTGGTTCCTAAGGTCTCAAAGGTCACTGTTGGTGGCAGAGCATTTAGCTACCAAGCTCCTTTACTGTGGAATCAGCTTCCCATTTATGTTAAGGAAGCAGATACGGTCTCTACATTCAAGGCCAGGCTTAAAGCACTTTACTTTAATTTAGCATATAATTAGGTAATATATAATATGTAGTGTATATATTATATATATATGCTGTATTATGTTATATATTATGTTATATATTATTCAATAATATATTGTGTTATGTTGTATATTATGTTATATATTATGCTGTATGTTATTCTTTATTCAAGGCTAGGTTTAAAACAGTCCTCTATAGTTTAGCATATGGCTAGGAAGGTAAGACTCGGAGAAGGTTAAACTCCTCAGAGTGTTAGTCAAGCTGCATAGGGAGTCAGTTTGCTGGGAGAAGTATGGTAACTTGAGCACTATCCTCTCCTCCTTCCTACTTTATCTGTTTAGCATTTTTAGGATTCTGACTGTAGTTTGTTCATTGCTATTCACCCGTTGTCCCATTGTCTGTTTCATGGTACGATGACGGGATCTCTGAGCCTGGCCTCTTCCATCTACACCTGCGGACTGCCCCGCCCGACCCGCCTGGGAGTGCTTCAGTCCTGCACCGGACCTGTCCACGTTCAGCGTCCACTGGTCCACGTTCTGTAGCTAGCTTAGGTCCTAGATCATTAGATCTAGAAGGGGAAGAAGAGGAAGAAGGGGAAGATGAGGAATAAGAGGAAGAAGGGGAAGAAGAGGAAGAAGAGGAAGAAGGGGAAGAAGAGGAAGAAGGGGAAGAAGAGGAAGAAGTGAAGAAGATGAAGTAAGAAGAATGTGTTGTAAGGGGCTGAAAGTGTTGTAAAGTGCTGAATGTGTTGTAAGGTGTTGTAAAGTGCTAAATGTGTTGTAAAGTGCTTAATGTGTTGTAAAGTGCTGAATTTGTTGTAAAGTGCTGAATGTGTTGTAAATGCTAAATGTGTTGTAAAGTGTGTTGAATGTGTTGTAAAGTGCTAAATGTGTTGTAAGGTGTTGAATTTGTTGTAAAGTGCTAAATGTGTTGTAAGGTATTGAATGTTTTGTAAAGTGCTAAATGTGTTGTAAGGTGTTGAATGTGTTGTAAAGTGCTAAATGTGTTGTAAGGTGTTGAATTTGTTGTAAAGTGCTAAATGTGTTGTAAGGTTTTGAATTTGTTGTAAAGTGCTAAATTTGTTGTAAGGTGTTGAATTTGTGTTAAAGTGCTAAATGTGTTGTAAGGTGTTGAATTTGTGTTAAAGTGCTAAATGTGTTGTAAGGTGTTGAATTTGTTGTAAAGTGCTAAATGTGTTGTAAGGTGTTGAATGTGTTGTAAAGTGCTAAATGTGTTGTAAGGTGTTGAATGTGTTGTAAGGTGCTAAATGTGTTTTAAGTTGTTGAATGTGTTGTAAAGTGCTGAATGTGTTGTAAGGTGTTGAATTTGTTGTAAGGTGCTAAATGTGTTGTAAGGTGTTGAATTTGTTGTAAAGTGCTAAATGTGTTGTAAGGTGTTGAATTTGTTGTAAAGTGCTAAATGTGTTGTAAGGTGTTGAATTTGTTGTAAGGTGCTAAATATGTTGTAAGGTGTTGAATTTGTTGTAAGGTGCTAAATGTGTTGTAAGGTGCTATAAGTGTTGTAAGGTGTAGAATTTGTTGTAAAGTGCTAAATGTGTTGTAAGGTGTTGAATGTGTTATAAAGTGCTAAATGTGTTGTAAGGTGTTGAATTTGTTGTAAGGTGCTGAATGTGTTGTAAGGTGTTGAATTTGTTGTAAGGTGCTAAATGTGTTGTAAGGTGTTGAATGTGTTGTAAAGTGCTAAATGTGTTGTAAGGTGTTGAATTTGTTGTAAAGTGCTAAATGTGTTGTAAGGTGCTGCAAGTTTTGTAAGATGCTGTAATGTATTGTATCTGTGGTAATGAATTGTTAGTGTGGTAATGTGTTGTATGGGGAGTAATCTGTTGTACTGGTCCAATGTAAGTCAATGGGAAAAAGTGCTTGAACTTTTGTTAATATTTGAAAAAGTGCTAAAGGTGGAAGTTTAAAAAGTAATAGCAATAATGAGACGGTGAAGCCGGTCGTAACGATGTATAATTTGTTGAATTTGGTGAAAGCGTTGAGGAGTTGAAAAGTGCCAAAATCTGGCGGAAGTGGAAGAAGAAGAAGAAGAAGAAGAAGAAGAAGAAGAAGAAGAAGAAGAAGAACTAGAAATGGTACAATGGCTGAAGCCATTGTGAGTGGCTGCATAGATGTTGGAAGGGTTAGGGATGAAGAAGGAAGAGGAAGGGGAAGAAGGAGGAAGAAGGAAGAAGTTGAAAGAAATGAAAGAAGAAAGAAGAAGAAGAAAGAAAAGGGAAAGAGGAAAGAAGAAGAAGAGGAAGAGGAAGAAGAAGGAGGAGGGAGGAAGAGGAAGCGGAAGAAGGAGGAAGAAGAGGAAGAAGGGGAAGAAGGGGGAGAAGAGGAAGAAGGGGAAGAAGAGGAAGAAGGGGAAAAGAGGAAGAAGGGGAAGAGGTAGAAGGGAAAGAAGGGGAAGAAGAGGAAGAAGGGGAAGAAGAGTAAGAAGGGGAAGAAGAGAAGGCGAAGAAGAGTAAAGTGCTAAATGTGTTGTAAGGTGCTGAATGTGTTGGAAAGTGTTGAATGTGTTGTAAAGTGCTGTAAGTCTTGTAAAGTGCTGTAAGTCTTGTAAAGTGCTGTAAGTGTTGTAAGATGTTGTAATGTATTGTATCTGTGGTAATGAATTGTTAGTGTGGTAATGTGTTGTATGGGGAGTAATCTGTTGTACTGGTCCAATGTAAGTCTATGGGAAAAAATGCTTGAACTTTTGTTAATATCTGAAAAAGTGCAAAAGGTGGAAGTGTGAAAAGTAATAGCAATAATGAGACGGTGAAGCCGGTCGTAACGATGTATAATTTGTTGAATTTGGTTAAAGCGTTGAAGAGTTGAAAAGTGCCAAAATCTGGCGGAAGTGGAAGAAGAATAAACAGTAGGAGAGCATATAGTGGCTGCATAGTCTATGCAGCCACTCAATAAACAGTAGGAGAGCATATAGTGGCTGCATAGTCTATGCAGCCACTCAACTAGAAATGGTACAATGGCTGAAGCCATTGTGAGTGGCTGCATAGATGTTGGAAGGGTTAGGGATGAAGAAGGAAGAAGAAGGAAGAAGAAAGAAAAGGGAAGAAGAGGAAAGACGAAGAAGGAAGAGGAGGAGGAAAGAAGAAGGGGAAGAAGGAGAAGAAGAGGAAGAAGGGGAAGAAGAGGAAAAGGGGAAGAAGAGGAAGAAGAGGAAGAAGAGGAAGAAGAGGAAGAAGGGGAAGAAGAGGAAGAAGAGGAAGAAGAGGAAAAAGGGGAAGAAGAGGAAGAAGAGGAAGAAGGGGAAGAAGAGGAAGAAGGGAAGAAGAGGAAAAAGGGAAAGAAGAGGAAGAACAGGAAGAAGAGGAAGAAGGGGAAGAAGAGGAAGAAGAGGAAGAAGGGGAAGAAGAGGAAGAAGGGAAGAACAGGAAGATGAGGAAGAAGGGGAAGAAGAGGAAGAAGAGGAAGAAGGGGAAGAAGAGGAAGAAGGGGAAGAACAGGAAGATGAGGAAGAAGAGGAAGAAGGGGAAGAAGGGAAAGAAGAGGAAGAAGAGGAAGAAGTAAGAAGAATGTGTTGTAAGGGACTGAAAGTGTTGTAAAGTGCTAAATACGTTGTAAAGTGCTAAATGTGTTGAAAGGTGTTGAATTTGTTGTAAAGTGCTAAATGTGTTTTAAGGTGTTGAATTTGTTGTAAAGTGCTAAATGTGTTGTAAAGTGCTAAATGTGTTGTAAGGTATTGAATTTGTTTTAAGGTGTTGAATGTGTTGTAAAATGCTAAATGTGTTGAATTTGTTGTAAAGTGCTAAATGTGTTGTAAGGTGCTGTAAGTGTTGTAAGGTGTTGAATGTGTTGTAAAGTGCTAAATGTGTTGTAAGGTGCTGTAAGTGTTGTAAGATGCTGTAATGTATTGTATCTGTGGTAATGAATTGTTAGTGTGGTAATGTGTTGTATGGGGAGTAATCTGTTGTACTGGTCCAATGTAAGTCTATGGGAAAAAGTGCTTGAACTTTTGTTAATATCTGAAAAAGTGCTAAAGGTGGAAGTGTGAAAAGTAATAGCAATAATGAGACGGTGAAGCCGTTCGTAACGATGTATAATTTGTTGAATTTGGTGAAAGCGTTGAAGAGTTGAAAAGTGCCAAAATCTGGCGGAAGTGGAAGAAGAATAAACAGGAATAAACAGTAGGAGAGCATATAGTGGCTGCATAGTCTATGCAGCCACTCAACTAGAAATGGTACAATGGCTGAAGCCATTGTGAGTGGCTGCATAGATGTTGGAAGGGTTAGGGATGAAGAAGGAAGAGGAAGGGGAAGAAGAAGGAAGAAGAAAGAAAAGGGAAGAAGAGGAAAGAAGAAGGAAGAGGAGGAGGAAGAAGGGGAAGAAGGGGAAGAAGAGGAAGAAGAGGAAGAAGGGGAAGAAGAGGAAGGAGAGGAAGAAGAGGAAGAAGAGAAAGAAGAGAAAGAAGAGAAAGAAGGGGAAGAAGAGGAAGAAGGGGAAGAAGAAGGAAGAAGAAAGAAAGGGAAGAAGAGGAAAGAAGAAGGAAGAGAGGAGGAGGAAGAAGGGGAAGAAGGGGAAGAAGGGGAAGAAGAGGAAGAAGAGGAAGAAGAGAAAGAAGAGAAAGAAGAGAAAGAAGGGGAAGAAGGGGAAGAAGAGGAAGAAGGGAAGAAGGGGAAGAAGTGAAGAAGATGAAGTAAGAAGAATGTGTTGTAAGGGGCTGAAAGTGTTGTAAAGTGCTGAATGTGTTGTAAAGTGCTAAATGTGTTGTAAGGTATTGAATGTTTTGTAAAGTGCTAAATGTGTTGTAAGGTGTTGAATGTGTTGTAAAGTGCTGAATGTGTTGTAAGGTGTTGAATGTGTTGTAAAGTGCTGAATGTGTTGTAAAGTGCTGAATGTGTTGTAAAGTGCTGAATGTGTTGTAAGGTGTTGAATGTGTTGTAAAGTGCTGAATGTGTTGTAAGGTGTTGAATGTGTTGTAAAGTGCTGAATGTGTTGTAAGGTGTTGAATTTGTTGTAAAGTGCTAAATGTGTTGTAAGGTGCTGTAAGTGTTGTAAGATGTTGTAATGTATTGTATCTGTGGTAATGAATTGTTAGTGTGGTAATGTGTTGTATGGGGAGTAATCTGTTGTACTGGTCCAATGTAAGTCAATGGGAAAAAGTGCTTGAACTTTTGTTAATATCTGAAAAAGTGCTAAAGGTGGAAGTGTGAAAAGTAATAGCAATAATGAGACGGTGAAGCCGGTCGTAACGATGTATAATTTGTTGAATTTGGTGAAAGCGTTGAAGAGTTGAAAAGTGCCAAAATCTGGCGGAAGTGGAAGAAGAAGAAGAAGAACTAGAAATGGTACAATGGCTGAAGCCATTGTGAGTGGCTGCATAGATGTTGGAAGGGTTAGGGATGAAGAAGGAAGAAGTTGAAAATAAATGAAAGATGTAGAAAGAAGAAGAAGAAAGAAAAAGGGAAGAAGAGGAAAGAAGAAGAAGAAGGGAAGAGGAAGAGGAGGAGGTAGAAGGAGGAGGGAGGAAGGGAAGAAGGAGGTAAGAAGGGGAAGAAGAGGAAAGAAGGGGAAGAAGGGAAAGAAGGGGAAGAAGGGGAAGAAGAGGAAGAAGGGGAAGAAGAGGAAGAAGAGGAAGAAGAGGGAAGAAGTGAAGAAGATGAATTAAGAATGTGTTGTAAGGTGTTGAATTTGTTGTAAGGTGCTAAATGTGTTGTAAGGTGTTGAATTTGTTGTAAAGTGCTAAATGTGTTGTAAGGTGTTGAATTTGTTGTAAAGTGCTAAATGTGTTGCAAGGTGTTGAATTTGTTGTAAGGTGCTAAAGGTGTTGTAAGGTGTTGAATGTGTTGTAAGGTGTTGAATTTGTTGTAAAGTGCTAAATGTGTTGTAAGGTGTTGAATTTGTTGTAAAGTGCTAAATGTGTTGTAAGGTGTTGAATTTGTTGTAAAGTGCTAAATGTGTTGTAAGGTGTTGAATGTGTTGTAAAGTGCTAAATGTGTTGTAAGGTGTTGAATTTGTTGTAAAGTGCTAAATGTGTTGTAAGGTGTTGAATGTGTTGTAAAGTGCTAAATGTGTTGTAAGGTGTTGAATTGTTGTAAAGTGCTAAATGTGTTGTAAGGTGCTGAATTGTGTAAAGTGCTAAAGGTGTTGTAAGGTGTTGAATTTGTTGTAAAGTGCTAAATGTGTTGTAAGGTGTTGAATTTGTTGTAAAGTGCTAAATGTGTTGTAAGGTGCTGTAAGTGTTGTAAGATGTTGTAATGTATTGTATCTGTGGTAATGAATTGTTAGTGTGGTAATGTGTTGTAAGGGGAGTAATCTGTTGTACTGGTCCAATGTAAGTCTATGGGAAAAAGTGCTTGAACTTTTGTTAATATCTGAAAAAGTGCTAAAGGTGGAAGTGTGAAAAGTAATAGCAATAATGAGACGGTGAAGCCGGTCGTAACGATGTATAATTTGTTGAATTTGGTGAAAGCGTTGAAGAGTTGAAAAGTGCCAAAATCTGGCGGAAGTGGAAGAAGAAGAAGAATAAACAGTAGGAGAGCATATAGTGGCTGCATAGTCTATGCAGCCACTCAACTAGAAATGGTACAATGGCTGAAGCCATTGTGAGTGGCTGCATAGATGTTGGAAGGGTTAGGGATGAAGAAGGAAGAGGAAGGGGAAGAAGAAGGAAGAAGAAAGAAGAGGAAAGAAGAAGAAGGAAGAGGAGGAGAAAGAAGAAGGGGAAGAAGGGGAAGAAGAGGAAGAAGAGGAAGAAGGGGAAGAAGAGGAAGAAGAGGAAGAAGAGGAAGAAGGGGAAGAAGAGGAAGAAGGGGAAGAAGAGGAAGAAGGGGAAGAAGAGGAAGAAGAGGAAGAAGAGGAAGAAGGGGAAGAAGAGGAAGAAGATGAAGTAAGAAGAATGTGTTGTAAGGGGCTGAAAGTGTTGTAAAGTGCTGAATGTGTTGTAAGGTGTTGAATTTGTTGTAAAGTGCTAAATGTGTTGTAAGGTGTTGAATTTGTTGTAAAGTGCTAAATGTGTTGTAAGTGTTGAATTTGTTGTAAGGTGTAGAATGTGTTGTAAAGTGCTAAATGTGTTGTAAGGTGTTGAATTTGTTGTAAAGTGCTAAATGTGTTGTAAGTGTTGAATTTGTTGTAAGGTGTTGAATGTGTTTGTAAAGTGCTAAATGTGTTGTAAGGTGTTGAATTTGTTGTAAGGTGCTAAATGTGTTGTAAGGTGTTGAATTTGTTGTGTTGAATTTGTTGTAAAGTGCTAAATGTGTTGTAAGGTGTTGAATGTGTTGTAAAGTGCTAAATGTGTTGTAAGGTGTTGAATTTGTTGTAAAGTGCTAAATGTGTTGTAAGGTGTTGAATTTGTTGTAAAGTGCTAAATGTGTTGTAAGGTGCTGTAAGTGTTGTAAGATGTTGTAATGTATTGTATCTGTGGTAATGAATTGTTAGTGTGGTAATGTGTTGTATGGGGAGTAATCTGTTGTACTGGTCCAATGTAAGTCAATGGGAAAAAGTGCTTGAACTTTTGTTAATATCTGAAAAAGTGCAAAAGGTGGAAGTGTGAAAAGTAATAGCAATAATGAGACGGTGAAGCCGGTCGTAACGATGTATAATTTGTTGAATTTGGTGAAAGCGTTGAAGAGTTGAAAAGTGCCAAAATCTGGCGGAAGTGGAAGAAGAAGAAGAAGAAGAAGAAGAAGAACTAGAAATGGTACAATGGCTGAAGCCATTGTGAGTGGCTGCATAGATGTTGGAAGGGTTAGGGATGAAGAAGGAAGAGGAAGGGGAAGAAGAAGGAAGAAGAAAGAAAAGGGAAGAAGAGGAAAGAAGAAGAAGGAAGAGGAGGAGGAAGAAGAAGAAGGGGAAGAAGGGGAAGAAGAGGAAGAAGGGGAAGAGGAAGAAGGGGAAGAAGAGGAAGAAGAGGAAGAAGGGGAAGAAGAGGAAGAAGGGGAAGAAGAGGAAGAAGAGGAAGAAGGGGAAGAAGAGGAAGAAGGGGAAGAAGAGGAAGAAGGGAAGAAGAGAAGAGGAAGAAGTGTGAAGAAGGGATGAAGTGTTGAAGGGATGAAGGTGTTGTAAAGTGCTGAAAGTGTTGTAAAGTGCTGAATGTGTTGTAAAGTGCTGAATGTGTTGTAAAGTGCTAAATGTGTTGTAAAGTGCTGAATGTGTTGTAAAGTGCTAAATGTGTTGTAAAGTGTTGAATGTGTTGTAAAGTGCTAAATGTGTTGTAAGGTGTTGAATTTGTTGTAAAGTGCTAAATGTGTTGTAAGGTGTTGAATGTGTTGTAAAGTGCTAAATGTGTTGTAAGGTGTTGAATTTGTTGTAAAGTGCTAAATGTGTTGTAAGGTGTTGAATTTGTTGTAAAGTGCTAAATGTGTTGTAAGGTGTTGAATGTGTTGTAAAGTGCTAAATGTGTTGTAAGGTGTTGAATGTGTTGTAAAGTGCTAAATGTGTTGTAAGGTGTTGAATTTGTTGTAAAGTGCTAAATGTGTTGTAAGGTGTTGAATTTGTTGTAAAGTGCTAAATGTGTTGTAAGGTGTTGAATGTGTTGTAAAGTGCTAAATGTGTTGTAAGGTGTTGAATGTGTTGTAAAGTGCTAAATGTGTTGTAAGGTGTTGAATTTGTTGTAAAGTGCTAAATGTGTTGTAAGGTGTTGAATGTGTTGTAAAGTGCTAAATGTGTTGTAAGGTGTTGAATTTGTTGTAAAGTGCTAAATGTGTTGTAAGGTGTTGAATTTGTTGTAAAGTGCTAAATGTGTTGTAAAGTGCTAAATGTGTTGTAAGGTGTTGAATGTGTTGTAAAGTGCTAAATGTGTTGTAAGGTGTTGAATGTGTTGTAAAGTGCTAAATGTGTTGTAAGGTGTTGAATTTGTTGTAAAGTGCTAAATGTGTTGTAAGGTGTTGAATGTGTTGTAAAGTGCTAAATGTGTTGTAAGGTGTTGAATGTGTTGTAAAGTGTTAAATGTGTTGTAAGGTGTTGAATTTGTTGTAAGGTGCTGAATGTGTTGTAAGGTGTTGAATTTGTTGTAAAGTGCTAAATGTGTTGTAAGGTGTTGAATTTGTTGTAAAGTGCTAAATGTGATGTAAGGTGTTGAATTTGTTGTAAAGTGCTAAATGTGTTGTAAGGTGCTGTAAGTGTTGTAAGATGTTGTAATGTATTGTATCTGTGGTAATGAATTGTTAGTGTGGTAATGTGTTGTATGGGGAGTAATCTGTTGTACTGGTCCAATGTAAGTCTATGGGAAAAAGTGCTTGAACTTTTGTTAATATCTGAAAAAGTGCTAAAGGTGGAAGTGTGAAAAGTAATAGCAATAATGAGACGGTGAAGCCGGTCGTAACGATGTATAATTTGTTGAATTTGGTGAAAGCGTTGAAGAGTTGAAAAGTGCCAAAATCTGGCGGAAGTGGAAGAAGAAGAAGAAGAAGAAGAACTAGAAATGGTACAATGGCTGAAGCCATTGTGAGTGGCTGCATAGATGTTGGAAGGGTTAGGGATGAAGAAGGAAGAGGAAGGGGAAGAAGAAGAAGAAGAAGAAAGAAAAGGGAAGAAGAGGAAAGAAGAAGAAGGAAGAGGAAGAGAGGAAGAAGAAGAAGGGAAGAGGAGAAGAAGGGGAAGAAGAGGAAGAAGGGGAAGAAGGAGGAAGAAGAGGAAGAAGGGGAAGAAGGGGAAGAAGAGGAAGAAGGGGAAGAAGAGGAAGAAGGGGAAGAAGAGGAAGAAGGGGAAGAAGAGGAAGAAGGGGAAGAAGAGGAAGAAGGGGAAGATGAAGTAGGAAGAATGTGTTGTAAGGTGCTGAATGTGTTGTAAAGTGCTGAATGTGTTGTAAAGTGCTGAATGTGTTGTAAAGTGCTGAATGTGTTGTAAAGTGCTGAATGTGTTGTAAAGTGCTGAATGTGTTGTAAAGTGCTGAATGTGTTGTAAAGTGCTAAATGTGTTGTAAGGTGTTGAATGTGTTGTAAAGTGCTAAATGTGTTGTAAGGTGTTGAATTTGTTGTAAAGTGCTAAATGTGTTGTAAGGTGTTGAATTTGTTGTAAAGTGCTAAATGTGTTGTAAGGTGTTGAATTTGTTGTAAAGTGCTAAATGTGTTGTAAGGTGTTGAATGTGTTGTAAGGTGCTAAATGTGTTGTAAGGTGTTGAATTTGTTGTAAAGTGCTAAATGTGTTGTAAGGTGTTGAATTTGTTGTAAAGTGCTAAATGTGTTGTAAGGTGCTGTAAGTGTTGTAAGATGTTGTAATGTATTGTATCTGTGGTAATTGATTGACTGCGGAACCTTCCGCAGTCAACCATTGGTTTTGTATTTCTTTATTCCGTCATTTTTTTTGACACGTTTCACAGCTTTCACATTTTCAACAATTTCCACAAGTTATACATCAAAACGTTCCACATGTTTGGGAGATTATTGCTATTACTTTTGGGACTTCAGCGATTTCCGGTTTTTCCGCAATCGGACAAAAATCTGCATTGAGAATTCTGCAATGCATTTTAATAGGCCCATGCATTTTAATAGGACTTCAGCTCTTTCAGACATTTCTACAGTTTCAATGATTCAACAGTTTCAAGGATTCAACAGTTTCAAGGATTTCAGCAGTTTCAAGATTTCAAGAGTTTCAAGGACTTCAACAGTTTCAAGGACTTCAGCAGTTTCAAGGACTTCAGCAGTTTCAAGGACTTCAGCAGTTTCAAGGACTTCAGTGTAATCATGCAACCTAATAGGGATTTTTCCATGTAAACCAGTATAATGCAACTTAATAGGGATTTTTCCATGTAAACCAGTATAATGCAACTTAATAGGGTTTTTTCATGTAAACCAGTATAATGCAACTTAATAGGGTTTTTTTTCATGTAAACCAGTATAATGCAACTTAATGGGGATTTTTCCATGTAAACCAGTATAATGCAACTTAATAGGGGTTTTTACATGTAAACCAGTATAATGCAACTTAATAGGGTTTTTTCCATGTAAACCAGTATAATGCAACTTAATAGGGTTTTTTCCATGTAAACCAGTATAATGCAACTTAATAGGGTTTTTTCCATGTAAACCAGTACAATGCAACTTAATAGGGATTTTTCCATGTAAACCAGTATAATGCAACTTAATAGGGTTTTTTACATGTAAACCAGTATAATGCAACTTAATGGGGATTTTTCCATGTAAACCAGTATTATGCAACTTAATAGGGATTTTTCCATGTAAACCAGTATAATGCAACTTAATAGGGATTTTTCCTTGTAAACCAGTATAATGCAACTTAATAGGGTTTTTTTCATGTAAACCAGTATAATGCAACTTAATGGGGATTTTTCCATGTAAACCAGTATTATGCAACTTAATAGGGATTTTTCCATGTAAACCAGTATAATGCAACTTAATAGGGTTTTTACATGTAAACCAGTATAATGGAACTTAATAGGGGTTTTTACATGTAAACCAGTATAATGGAACTTAATAGGGGTTTTTACATGTAAACCAGTATAATGCAACTTAATAAGGATTTTTACATGTAAACCACTATAATGTAACCTAATAGGGGTTTTTACATGTAAACCAGTATAAAGCAACTTAATAGGGATTTGTACATGTAAACCAGTATAATGCAACCTAATAGGGATTTTTCCATGTAAACCAGTATAATGCAACTTAATAGAGATTTTTCCATGTAAACCAGTATAATGCAACTTAATAGGGATTTTTCCATGTAAACCAGTATAATGCAACCTAATAGGGATTTTTCCATGTAAACCAGTATAATGCAACCTAATAGGGATTTTTCCATGTAAACCAGTATAATGCAACCTAATAGGTTGCATTATACCACCAGACCAAGACCCAAACGAAGACTCAGACCACCACCAGATAATGACCACAGACCAGGTTTCCTTAGTTACAGGAACCAAATTGTTTCAGCGGTGAGGGGATTTTTCAGTTTCAAGGACACTTTCAATACATTCAGTAGTTTCAAGGATTTCAACTGTTTAAGAATTTAACCAGTTTCAAGGATATCAGGAGGTTCAAGGATTTCAGGAGTTTCCACACTTTCAACAGTTTCCAGGTTTAAAAAAAGTTTCAAGGATTTCAGGAGTTTCAATGTTTCAACAGTTTCAAGGATTTCAGGAGTTTAAAGGTTTCAACAATTTCAAGGACTTCAGGAGTTTCAAATATCTATCAAGTATTTTAACAGTTTCAAGGCCTTTTAAAGGATTTCAAGGATTTTTTTTAGCAGATTTCCACATTAGATCTGTTCCGCAGTCAATCGCAATGGCTTCAGCCATTGCAAGTTTCTAGTTTATTATCATTATTGCATCCGCATATTTGGATGATCAAGTTAGAGTCAGCGGAGGACACACAATCGTGAGTGTACAAGTAAAAAGCAAGGACTCAAAATACATCCCTGAGGAGAACCAGTTGCTCACAGGAACAACATCAGAATGGACAGTCATGATTTTACTCTCTGAGATCTGTCAGTTAAAAAAGCTAAAAATCCATTTACACATGCAACATTCAGATCAAGGGACATTAGTTTTTCAACCCAATATGCTTGGGGACAAGACAATTAAATGCAGAGCTATAATCAATGAACTGCATTCTCGCGACTGATTTACTAGTGTCCCAAAATGAGTGTAGGACAGAGTTCAGAGGCCAAAGGCGAATGGCCTCCTCCACACTCCTGTTATGTCTGTAAGAACTGGAGCGGGTCAACACTCACAGGGATATGGGCTCTTAATGAAGTCCAGCACGAGCCGCTCAAAAGTCTTATAAAGAACAGCGTGAGAGCACAGGGCGGTAGGTCATTGAATCATGTCACTGGAGACTTCTTAGAACTGGAATAAATGTTGGACCTTTTAAAGTCACCGTCACCGTACAGCTCCTGAGTGACCAAGATATAAGATCGTCCGGTTAAACAGGGGAATGTTGCTCGGAGCACAGTTTCAGGACGCGGGGAGGAATGCAGGTCCGGGCCTGCGGCTTTCGAGCTGTGGTCCTGGACAAGACCCGCCGTACTTCATCCTGAGTCACTGTGAAGGCACCCTGACATTCGGGGAAGACAAAAGGCAGGGGATCTGCAGATTCAATGCGGCAGTAAAAGTCGTTGGCTCATTTGGCAGAGTTTGGCAGCAGCAATTTCCCTGTGCACTTGGTGTCCAGGACGTGATAAGACTGATCCCCATTCCACATGCGTCGAGGGTCCTCTTCGCCAAAGAAGCCCTTCTTATCCGGTCCCCATAGGAACGCTTAGCAGCTTTTATAGAGCGTTCCACAGCGTCAGCAGGCAGTTGTGGCACCCTCATCACCGGATTGAAACGCCAGTGTCCGCTCATTAATTCTCAATTTTACGTCAGTGTTCATCCAAGGTTTTTGGCCGGTGTGTTCTTTGATAACTTTATAGGGGACACAACTGTCAATGCAAAAATTGTATGTATTCCTGCACAGCCTCACAGAATTCGATCAAACATTCTCAGAGTTTAAAACAGACCAGTCTGTGGCATCAAAGCAAGCCTGCAGCTTCATGTTAGCCTTCCTCAGAACAGCACTGCACAGTGCGGGAAGTAGGTTTGTGCTGTTTGTTCCTTGTGTCTATGAAGGAAGAAGGAGAACCGCGGAGTGATCAGACTTCCCAAAAGCCGGTCTGAGACTGGGCGTAAGCTGCCTTCACGTTACTATTGCAGTAATTCCAGGTGTGAGCGCCCCTGGTAGGCTGACTACTTGCTGATAAAAAGTTCGGAATCAGACTTTACGTTACATTTATAAAAATCACCACCAACTATAATCACAGCATTCGAGGTGAGAGCTTCATGTTATGCAAATGTCACTTTAGTCATTCAGTGCAGCTGTACAGTCAGCCCGAGGTGGATTATTTCTACAGCACATAAGAGAATCATGAGAATTCTCGGGGAAGATAGAACGGGCGGCATCTCATAAACCAGACACTCCAGGTTTAGCAGAGGATGTTTTGTTTACAATAACAAACTTTGCACCAGCGCTTTTGATAATATCTTGGTGGCGATCCCATGCAAAACTGCGTGATAAAAAAGCAAATCAACGAGAGCGAACGGAAGAAACTCGCAGAAGAAAGGTGTGTGTTAGCAGGTCTTATATTCATTCATCAAAGCTAGCCTAGCATTCACGCACAATCACAATCATGGATCGTTGTTTATGGAAGAAGGAGCAGTATAAGTTTCTGTTGATAACAGTGAAAAATAAATGGAGGTGGGCATGGCTGGATGAGGTGGAGACGATGGGATTCTGTTGCTTCATGGTGCAAAAAGATGAAGGTGTCCGGTGCTTGTTCGTACTTCGCTATTATTATTTTTTTATATGGGAGTAATGAGAAAACAAATCAAACAGCTTTGGATTCACCACCAGCTCAAAACTGCGCACTTGGCAGCTGTCCGTGCACTTTCCCACACTTCTTTACCTGGTGCATCAGATTCAGCGACAACTGAGACTAGGCTTGCTCTGGTGGACTGTGTCTGTGACCTAAAACTATCTGTGGCTTTATCGCAGAAAATAACCTGTCGTTCAGAACCATCACTACCGCTGGTAGATTTAATTATCATTAATCATTTGCAGTTGATAAAACTGCGCTGTGCACTAGCACCAAGTTGATAGGGAAACCTTTTTCTTAAACATTGAGTGTCCACAAACAAATGTGGACAGAATTTTGAATGTCCTTTTTAACATGTTGGGCGGAGGGTTTAATGAGGAGGCTACTTTGTCTGAACAATTAAATAGAGGGAAAAAACCGCATGGTCCAGAGGAGGAAGCAGCT